GTCACATCTAGTGGATTTAGCTGTCAGGTAAAACTTCAAAATCGATTATCTCGGTAAATTATGAACGTAGCGTAGAACTACTTCGAAAAATTGTTATTCAAGGTCCAAACTACACATACCATAAATATCAAAAATTACAAAAATCCGACTACCTTACCTGTTAGATTTAATGTCTATCTCTAGACGTAAATTATCAATGCTAATACGGAGAAGAGTTTGTAAAAATAACAAAATCTGTTTTTTAATGGTAAATGGATAATATTGGATACCTGACCGTAGTTTTCTATTTGGATCAACTTTAAATAACGATTGTCGATATTTTAAAAAATAAAGGTACTTTACTCTTGAGCAAAATTTACATTTTTCGACAAACCTCGTATACGACTGCAAAAAATTGAAATCTGATTATTTCATTTTGGATTTTAGGCCATGCAGAACTCTTCATCAAGAATAACTTTTTCTCATAAAACCAAAAAAGAGAAGGAGCGTTAAATTGACGTCCACGGGATGTCGGTTATTCAATTTTGTATTGCGATGAAATTTGTTTGTACAATTGCGGTACAATAATTGTATTAATTCTAAATTGACACAATTATTGAAGTAAAAATTGAGCCAACGTTAGTGGCTACGTTTAAATCAATCTAAATACGTCCACTGTAAAATCATCGTAGTGGGAGAGCGATAGTCTCCGCCTCCAGCTGTAACGCCCGTGCACCCGACCCCGCAGCGATACCTTAGCAGTGTACAAAGAACGGACTCTTAAAAGTTATACCAAAACTAAACTAAATAAGCTTTTTAAATCGTAAAATTAACCTAATAATAATAATTGACCTAGGGGTCTCAAAAAAATGAAAAAAGTTATTGGATAATTTATTGTATAGGATAATTAGGTATTTTATTTTTATTTTACAAAAATATTAAGAGCAATAAAAGTATATTAATTCCTTTTTTATTTAATTTTTAAATAATAAGTTTTTCGTTATTTTCGAACAAGTTCTGAAGTTGAAATAAGCGTTTCATCATCAATTTCGGATGGAACATTCTGACATTCTTCTGAGCGCGTACATAATACACAACATTCCAGGTTCGATGACAAACAGTTACAATTTCTGTAGAACATTTTCCACTACATGAACAAAAATATTTTTGAAGCATATCTAACGCACTTTCTCCTTCGAAATAATTAAAATCCAAACAATCATTTTCGATTTTCCATCCATATGTCAATGGATCTAGAGTTACAATTTCACTATTTGTAGACTGTTTGTTTTACTCGCTTTAGACCTTCAATAAAATAATTGACCTATACCAAAAAAATATATCTTAAAGTAGAAGACCTGCCGACTATTATGCTTTTTCTAGAATTAAACTATGTTCAGTAGTTTTTGAGAACAAAATTCCGCAACTTGGTCGATTTCGTCATTTTTTTCACATTAAATTGTAAATATCTTGGAAACGAAGCATTTTTCGAATTTTTGTCAACGAACAAAATGTGTTTATTTTGGTCCATTTTGCATAAAACGGTTTTCGCCGTTCGGCGAGTATTTTCTTTTACAACTTTTTTGTTTTTAACAATTGACTGACCACGCCGAAAAATATAAAAAAATATGTAAATTATCAGAAAAGTACACTTTATAAAATAAAAAAAGTTTCATGCTGTAGGTTTTTGTTTTAAAAATTTAGTCGGTTACCTTCATTTAGAAGCATCTTTTTAGGAGTGAACCGCTCGCCTATATCTCGTACTTCAGGATGCGTGGAATCGGTATCTGAAGACTGGCAGAGTCACGAGACGACCATAATCCGGAAGAAAAAGAGTAACAACGGCGCTTGATGATCGTTTCGTTGTGCTCAACATACTGAGGTATCGGGGATCAACATCAGTTCAACTTCAGCATCGCCTTCTAACAGTGCGAGGGGTTCAAATAAGTGAGAGGACGATTAGGAGGAGGCTTGTAGAAAATGATTTATTTTTAAGGAGGCTGGCCACAGGACCACAATTGCTACTTAGGCATCGAAGGGCACGTCTTCAGTTTGCGTGATTACATGTAAATTGGATTCCTCGGCAATGGAGTGAAGTTCTTTTTACTGACGAGTCTCGTTTTTGTCTGCGATCACCTGATGGTCGGGAAAGGGCGTGGAGAAGGCAAAATGAACGATTTTCAGACTGCACCATCTCTGAACGAGTATCTTTTAAAGGTTCTGTTATGGTGTGGGCGGGCATTTCTACGGAAGCACATACCGACCTTATATTTGTGGATAATGGAGCTTTGAACGCTCACAGTTATGTAAAAGATATTCTTCAAGAAGCTGTCGTTCCATTCTCTTATTTTATTGGAGAATGCTTTGCTTTAATGCACTACAACGCCAGACCACATACTGCACGAATCGTTACTGAATATAAACGAGGTCAGTATTCGTAGCCTTGATTGGCCCGCATGCAGCCCGGACCTTAACTCAATTGAACATCTTTGGGATGAACTTCAGAGGGGTATTCGTCGTCGACCAGTCATGCCACAGACTCTTCTAGAGCTAAGACTGGCCCTTTAGGGAGAATATGAAGCAATTCCCCAATTACGCTTAAGAAAGTTGGTTGACTCAATGTCACGACGGTTGAATGATGCAATTCAGGCCCATGAAGGACATACACGCTATTAACAATAACCAGGAGGTTCATTAAAAACACCAAACATAATTTGTTAGACATAAGAAAAAAGTGAATTTTTGTTCCGTTTCTGTTATTGTTTTAATTAAATTGAATTTTGTCTTAAATTATTTTTTTTAGTTAATCGTTGCAACCTGAATCGATAATGAATGGTTCTGCAAGCAAATATCGATTCTAAGTTACATTAATATATTTATGAAATACTTTAGCGTGGCCTATTTTTTTTGCGGGCGAGTGTAGATACAGTCTAAACTTTTTGAAAAATCCAAAAGTGATCCCAATCTTTTGAAATATTGAAAATTTTCAACATCAGATATAGTTAATAATTTCATAAAGGTTGTAAATAATTATGACGTTTCAAATGTTTGTAAATAAAATAGGTAATTACTTTATTTCAAGTCACTTAAGTAGAGACATACACTTATGATTACATCATAATTGTTATTTAGCGATAGTTGAAAAATTTTACAGTCTGCTAATCTTTGTTACTTAAAAAATGATGCTAAAGACGTGCGCGAGAAATATCACGTGATCTTCTATATTTGTCAAAGATTATAATCTTTAACAATATTTTCTAAGAACTGCTAGAAATTGCAGTATTTCTCAAAATTTCGAGGATCGCCTAAAAGAGAAGTTGTTTATTTCCAATTTGTGCTTAAACCCAGTGGATAACTTTTTCGATACTTGGATTGGGACCTTTGAAATTAAAAAGACTGCAAAACAATGAATTTTTGAAACCTGTAAAAACATTAAACTTTTTATAAATAATTTTACTCTGCATTGCACCATTGCCATCAGTTATAAAATTTTATGTATTTAATCATATTAAATATCAACAAAATATTTAAAGAATCCAAATGTACTCGCGCTAAAATAAATATAGGAGCTTATATTATTATTTATTACGACGCGAGCTACGCTCCTTAATATATGCAACCTCATATACAAAATGTGTGCACAGCGAACAATTAGATGCGTCCCTTGTTTTTATTGGCTAATCAGGCACGTGACCCAGTACACTTTTATATGGGCTTTCGTGGCTGCAACAACGACAGCCACTGCTGCTGTAAATGCAGTAATATTTCGTACGTGGTATGTGGTGGTTTATTTCTGCGAGCGACACGTGTGAATATTTTCGTTTAGGCGTCTACGGATATTATAGTTATTAAAATGAATAGCGTTTCGTTTAAAAAAAAAACTTTATTTGGTTCTCTGCATTATGAGGATAAACTAAAAATAAAAGAATTAGGTGGGCCAACACCACAATTAAATATTGAAGTTAGGAGAACAAGCCGAAGTAAAAGTTATAAAAGACAATTTAACAATAATGTATACACAAAAGCAGAGTGCGTGTGCTGGTGTGATTTAAAAAATACACTGTTTTGTTTTCCGTGCTTACTTTTCGGTGGTGATAAAGCATGGATTAGGTAAAATAAACATAAGAAGTCAGTTAGATTCTGCATGTTGGGATAATATACGGAAACACAAAGAACAGGTAACGAAAAATCGTTATGTATTATCTAAAATCATTGAGATTGCATAAAATTTTGCCAAGCTTTCGAATTAGTACTTCGCGGATACGAGACAGAAAATTCGGACAACTGTGATGTGTTTCGTGGACTCATAAATTTTAGTGCAGATCTTGACGACATATTAAAAGAACATCTAGCCACATGGGTATGACCGGGATTTTCTGTGATTGTACCGGGAATTAGCTGTATGGTCCCGGATTTCGGATTTGCACGTATAACTCCCGGAATATAATATAATGTACATATTATATAAAAAAAAGATAAAGAAAAAATCATAACACGGCGAGGAAAATTAAAATTCGTTGAATCGTTGGTAAATTTCACAAAAATTTTTTTTGTTTATAAACAATATTCAATAATTTAATAAAATATATTTAGTTTATTCCAATTTATTTATACAGTCACTCCGGGAAAACGCGTAACCTTGAAAATTTTAAAATTTAACTGATTGCCATAATCATTACCTTTAGAAATAAATTTATCTTGTAGGCACCTTTTCAAATTGAATGCTGAACGAAAATAGAATTTTTATGATGTTCAACTGTGTTTTATAAACCATTTTCTTTATTGCAACTTTCTTTTATCGTATATTTTATCTGCACATATCTCCTTTTGTCCAGCACTGTATTAATAAGGCGCCTATAGGTAAAAAATGTATGTTTTTAGATTTCAAAAATAAAAGTATTTTTTTCATTAAGATATGTATTATTATTTGTAGTCGTCTTGGAGTGGCAATGCTAGAATATACTGCTTGAAGGTTCTTAACCAGAAAGACGAATCAAACGGATCAACATGTGCGATAACAGATGGTGGAATTGGATTTGACCACGTCACAATAGAGATGCATTCAAAAGCCAACCACGGCCTAGAGTTTGATATTGAAATTTATGCTAGTTAGATATATAAATATGTATTATATGTTACTTTTAATGCCTTATACATATTAAATAAAAAAAATTGAAACCTTAACAACTCTGAAATTTGTATCACAAAATAAAATACGAGTATAGTAAACTAGTAGAAACTTTATTAGAAAAATAGTGTATTTTGCATGTACTAGAACATAACATGTAGTAGTAAGACTAGTAAGCCAAAAATGTTAACTGTAAATTTATTATAAAATACCTACATGTAAAAACACTTAAAATTGTTTATTTTAATAGTTGAGACTATAATGCAGTCGTGGTCCTTCTAAAAAATATTTTGCGCATTATTCCCCTCGCTTTAGTCTTTTAAAATTCTGAACAGATACTCCAAATCCACAGCCGTATCCTCAAGCAAATCTGTACAGTGCACAGCATTACTATACTTGTCACATCCAAAATTGGCCCTTAGAGAATTTGGCCTAATTTGTCTAGCTATATCCGAATCGGGCGGGCCAGCGAAGTTTCTAAATTCCTGGTGCACGTTCATTTCTTCATTTTTCCCACCAATTTCTAAAACAACACATGGGCCGTCCAGGAAACTTAAAAGAAGTGCATGGTAGTCGCTCACTATACCCTTGTAGACCTCCAAGAATTCATCGGCGTTGGCGTTACTGAGATATGTCATCTTAGCGGCTGTGATCTTGAAATGTGAATCTGTTATAAAGGAGATGATGTAGCCCAATTTCCCTTCTTGGACGGCATGGGGTTTTATGATGCAACAAGTGGTGTTCTGGAGTTTTATTGGCGTTTCGGGAGCACTCCTTTCGGAGTCCTTGGGGAAAAAGAAATTTATTTCCCTGACGGCGTCCTCTGGAGTATCCGAACCGTGGAATCCGTTTGTGGCAGGACTTTCTAAACCGTACAAGGCTACTAGGGTGTCGGGCGCTGTTTTTCTGGCTTCTTGGGGATCTGCTGGGCCCATGACTTCTTTCCATCTGGCTAGAGCGTTCTCCCCAACAAGTTCCAAAGCCACTGAAGGTCCAGAAACGATGTTTTCTAGTACAAAAGGTAGTGCAGCATCTCCTTTCTTGTGCTCGTAAAAATCCAGCGCTTCTTTCCTGGACAATTCGCACATCCTAAGCCTGGTTATGTGAAATTTTCTGTCTTGAATCTGAGTGATAATTTCACCAAGCTTATCAACGACGTTAGGTTTTAATATAGCCAAAGTGTGTTCTTTGGCCTTGCCAACAAACTTCTGTGTACGGCAATCTGCGTAATCAGTAATGGTAATTTGTCTTCCATATATCCGTATTTTGTTGCCTACGAACATATCGTCCAGACCCAGGTTGTCCATCCTGGTACGTTTCAAGTACATTCTGTTCAGTTCCCTGTCGAAAATGTCCAGAGTGTTGTCGCTGGGATAGAAATTAAGAATGAATTTTTTATGATAATATGATTGATAATCGAACCATTCCCCCAGAAAGGATAGCTTATCATTGTAGTCGAATTCTGTTTTAGCCATTACCTGAAACCAAAAAAATGTAATTGCAGTATAAACCATAAAACAGTAAAGTACTTGAAAAAGGTAAAAAATAGAAACTGTAAAATGTCAGATATAATTCATATTCATTATATTGACATAGCAAATTCGACACAAAATTATGACAGTTAAACCAACACAGTATGGTACAGTCATTTATTCTTCATATACAATATCTACAAAATTGTTTAAAATGGGTTTTTTTCACGACTGATGTAGAGATTTTCATTTTTACAAGAGTAGTAAAATATTTAAACTAATATATTATAAGTATCATAATTTTAGATCAAGTTACGCCACATTTACATCACATTTCAGCTGAATACTTTGTTGGCGTATTGTTAAACTGTATGTGGGTATTATATCTCTTTGTTTCATTTCACCCGCTTATGTACGTCCCTTTGTCAGGTCAGACTCAGGAGTTAAGCTGTTGATTTTCCCCCTTCATCAGTGGATCACATATCAAAATTAAAGCACAACTAAAAATGGAAACCGATTTCAAAGTTAATTTTCTCATGACGGGCTAATATGATTTTAGTGGCTTTAAGGTTTTCACAGCCCGTGCTGTGCTGTTTAATGTACGACGTTTTCGGATCGTTAAACTGTGGCCCAAGTACCTGATTGAAGCCAATTACAGAATTACAGCGTACTTTCCTAGCCTTAACTAGGAATCTCTGGCATGCTTTTATTCTCGGGCTAGGCGCTATCAGAACCCCCAGGCTTCCTTGAGGTTCATTTCCGTTCTTGTCGGTGCTCCTCGTACCCAAGACCACACCGTCTACTCCACTTCATAGGACTAGAGGCGTACACGACTGTACTAATGTCATCAACAACGCACACTGCGTACGTTTAGTTCTCCGGTATCGACACTATAAGACTTGTGACAAGGTAGCAAGCGGTCTCCAAGTGGGTAAAGAGCGATAGTCCCGCTCGATCCCACCCTCTTTGACGTCACTTATGCAGCCAAGGACATTGGCGCGCAAGCGGTCTTAATCGCAACGAAGCTTTTGCGAAAACACCACTGAAGAACGACGAAACGCTTGGAAGCATTTGATACGACGAGTTACAGAGGTCACTCGAAACGTCTCAGACAAAAAACACCACTGTCTGAGGAGCGGTTTTGTTCATAGCGGCCTTAGAATAATTAGAACCAAAATCAGGTTCTGACAGCGAGTCCTCCTTGCCTAGCCCGAGAATGAGGGCAGGTCAAAGATTTCTAATTAAGACTAAGGAAGTGCAATAGTAACTGGTGACGAACAGGTACATAGGCCACGGCATGATAATCCCACAAATCAACGTAATTTGAATTTTATTTCACATTTTTTTATTGTAGGGTTATTCCTCAGTAATCACGTAAGATAGGAATTTTTATTGATACAATTTCAATATTCCGTATATAGGGTGTTCAGTTATTAAGAGGCCTCACGTCACTAACATGTGCTCCAATAAAAATTAGGAGGCTCTTCTAATTTTCTGTCAAAAGTACTTACGCTGACTTTCATTATCAGGTATACCATGTACAAACAAAAAATTAGTGGCGCCCAATCTAGAAAAAAATTGATATCAATAGTAGATCATTGAAACCCAATTTTCTCTGGAATGATGGAACTTTGTATTAGTACTTTCTATGTTAAATTAGAAAAGAATAGGAGGAATGTCTGAAACTAGTTTTAACTTTTTCAACTTCAACAGTTCGTATCTCTGGAACGAAGTTTTTCTTCAGAATTTGAAACTATGATCCTATGTTTATTGAACAAATTGTTTTTCGATTCATGTCATTATCTTTTTATTAATCGAGATACACATTGTAATAATTTACGAACTTATGAGAATAGCAATAATAATAATAACACAGCAGCAATACAAATAAACAACTTCGAAACAATTTACCCTAATTTACCTAGATCCTCCATTGAAGACGCTGAAAATATTTTGAGAGAAATGTAGGACATTTCTTAGGAAAAGACTTATGGTTTCTAATATGTACCATCAGTCATCGCTGTGAAGCCTTTATTAAATGTATTGTGTTCTTTGTTCACTGATTTCTTTGTGATCACTAGACATCGGAAACTTTGTGGCGACAATCAAATAAATAAACAGTAGTAATCTATATTATTATGCTAATAAGTAGCAGCACGCGTTGTAGTAGCAGACATAGGCTCAATCTGCGGCCAAGCCGTATGCCACTCTACGCTGACAATACACAATACTAATACTGCCACAAAAAACACGTCCCATACACTCGACCAAGCAAGTCAAACTCACTCACATACGTACAAATGACAATGAAATGCACGACCAACGTCTCTCAGCCAAAAAACCGGATTTGTTCACCGGCACGTTGCTAGGCCGACAGGGCAGCCATTAGGGTGCCGCTAGATACGTATCGAATCAATTGATCGATGCGAAACTTCAAATCAGAGAATGGTGGACACTATATTTTTATGATGTAAAGAGTGCAGTTACATGAAGACAACGGTTGTCTCACTTCTTCTTTGAATAAAATTACATGAGAGAGCCCGGTCTACAGCAAACCCTGTACCGCATTGCACCCGTCCTAACATTACCGATCTCTCGTGATCGGTCAGTGATTTTAATGTCATATCTACGTTTCTTCATTTTTGTATGCTTTTATTAAACTTACACCTCAATACCCGGTATGTACTGATAACTAAAAAAAGTCGTTACTGAGTAATAAATCTTTAATTAAAAAAAGAACGTCACAAATTAATTAGCCCTCCGCGAGAAAATCGATATTAAAATTTTGATACAAAAAAAAAACATACCCAGTACAAATCTCTTACGAAACTAATAACTGTGCTTACCTACCTTATTTTTAACAACGTATAAAGTAAACTAAAATTGCGACTTAGTTCTATATTGAACAAGATACTAGCAAAAATGTATATACTTGTTTTGATCAATGTTATACTGTAGTAGGTACACAAATTGGGGGAACTCATAGACAGGTGCCTACTATAAAAACGGGACAAATGTTAAATCGATTTCTATGTAGTTAGGAATAGATAAAATTCATGCCTCATTTACAAACAATATAAAACATGTTTACCTACAAAAAATATAAGGAAAATACATATACTGTACGCGTGTAAAGTATGGAATAAATTCAGTAAAAACGAAACAAATTTTTTTTGGGAAAAATCCTCGAACAGGTCGATTTTTAATTTTAAAAATACATATTTTAGCATAAAAGTCGATTTTCAACCGTCATTTGTTTTCGAGTAATGGCGTCATCGACATTTTTTTTTAAATAGCAACTCCCTATTTTTTTTCTGAAAGATCGTTTCATTGTCGATCCGACAGTATTAAAATGTTGCCATCTTACATAGGAGTTTTCGAGTAAATGACGATTGAATGTTAGAAAACGTAAATTTTATTCATTAAAAAAAATAACAATTCCTATGTCAAGCAAATACAATTCATTAAGACTTCTACCTAAATTAAGTGTTCGACTTGCCACCCACCGACTTCTTGACAATACGCAAGTCTGTAGAAATTCTTCTTGCACATTATGAATTATTTCTGGGGGAACTCTGTGTATTTCATCTATAAAACAATTTTGGAGTTCTTCTAAATTATGTGGTCTATTAACGTACACTGGACTTTAAGTAGCCCCATAAGAAATAGTCCAGGGGTGTAAGATCTGGGGATCTCGCGGGCCATTCCATCTGTCCTCATCTGCCGATCCACCTCCTAGGAAAGCAATTGTCCAGAAAATCTCGAACAGGGCGCGCATAGTGCGGAGGTGCACCGTCTTGCTGAAACCATATGGTGTCTTCAGGAATATCAGGGTCATTATCGTTAGGAAAAATAACTGCAAGCGCTGGAACAAGGTCATTTTGTAAAAACTCTAAATATCTTTCTTCTGTAAGGGTTTCTTCAAAGAAGAAAGGTCTTACTATTCTGTTGTCAATTATTCCAGCCCACACATTTAATTTATGTGGGTATGTGTCTCTGCCATCCAATGAGGATTTTCCTCCAAAACCTACAAGTTTGACGGTTCACTGTACCATCGGCCTCGTCTGAAAAAAGTATTTGCCGATGTAAATCTCTATTTACTTGACATAAATCCATCATAATTTCACAAAAGTGTAAGCGGCGGTCGGGATCGTCTTCATTGAGTTCCTGCACAAGTTGAATTTTGTAGGGATGATATTTTTCCTACCTCAGGATACATAGCACTGTGGTCTGACTAATTTTATTGTTTAATGCAACCAATCGTGCAGTATTATGAGGATTATCTACCATACTTATCAAAATGTTCTGTTTGTGATCTTCACTAACGCTTGGACGTCCAGGTTTTGGAATATTTACAACATTGCCAGTTTCTCTAAATTTAGATTGTATCTTACTGACTGTTGATTGGCTACGGCGATCTGGATGTTTTTCATTAAATAAATCGCAAACTTAATGCTGCGTTCTAGTCTTATCTCCGCATCCGATAAGAATTAAAATTTCAATTCTTTGTGTGACAGTTAAATGCGCCATAATACTTTAAATTCAACAATAATTTTTATATCGCTTACAATACTTAGAAAGTCGGTATGACAGTGACACTTTGTAAAGATTTACACCTACGTGATCTATAAAAAACTTCAGGCATTTCGAAAAACTAAATTTGATAACGTTTTTGTTTATTTTAATTGATTTGGATTTTCCAATATTCAATCGTCATTTACTCGAAAACTTTCCTATGTAAGATGGCAACATTTTAATACTTCGACAACGAAACGATTTCAAAATCACGAAAAAAAATTGGGAGATGCTATTTAAAAAAACTGTCGATGACGCCATTACTGGAAAACAAATGAGGGTTGAAAATCGCCTTTTATGTTAAAATATGTATTTTTTAAATTAAAAATCGACCTGTTCCAGGATTTTTCCCAAAAAAAATTTGTTTCGATTTTACTGAATTTATTCTATACTTTAGGCGCATACGGTACCTATACCAGAAAAATACAATATTTATTCATTATTTTATAAAATAATTTATTGAATTTGCAGTATTACTTATGCGACTGAATCCGAATATAATGAACGTATACTATTTCTTGTTACCACATTATTTCATTTGTTGTTAATATCCCTCACGTCGAAATTCTACGTAAGCCACTGAAATGTCAATTGCAGGATGTTAATTATTATTAATACTAAAGCACAGTGCAACTGTTGTAATCCATTTACTCACCATTTAACAGATTATCAGATGTGGAAACGAATTCATGCTTTAAAAGCAACTAGAGCATAACATCTAGGTGAAATAACGTCGTCAGTCACTTTCTGAACACTGCACTCAAAACCCTTTTCCTTTAAAAATTCCACTCTGTCTAACAGAACAATATTTTCGCAAATGCTTTGTATAGACGCCTGAAGTCCTGTCAAAACTTCCACTAAGTAACAATCGTTTTTGTGCTCATTCCATTTTTTAGTCGCTTTTCTTTGGAATTCTTCATCGCCAATATTTAGTTTTTCTCCTTCTGCTGTATCGTTATATTCTAATTGATGAGTGCTTTTCAGGTTGTTCAGATAAGTTTGGAAGTCTTCCTTACTGGATGAGTTGCGATTTTTACCTGATTTTCTTTTGAGACGTTTCACTTGACAATTTTCTAAAAAAAATCAAAAACAATGTGAAATCCAAAAGTACCTATTTAAATATCTACGTATAGTCCAGACGAAATCTGTTTAAAAAAGTCGATATTTGAGTGAATCGTATATCCACGGAAATTTTTGGCTTTTTGGCTTTCAAATATCACTAGAAATGAAAAATTTTCTATGCGCATAACTTTTGGCGGCACAATATGTTAAAAAAATTCGAAAAATGTCATACTTTCTTCCTATTTAATTATGTATCTTTTCAAGAGTTGATTTTAGGCGAAAATGGAAGACGAAAAAAATTTTTGTAATATTTTTTTTTACAAAATATAACTAGTTACAAATCGAATGAAATGATTATTATTGCAAAAATCGAAAAAATGGGGTTAAAAACATTACTTTTTAGGGAATTTCTTTGGGTTCTTTAAATTGGGTATAGGACCTTCATACTTGTCCTGATTTATTAATGCAATTATCATTTCTTTTGTGATTAAAGTATAATTCAAATATTATTTATTGTTTAAAATATAAGCAAATGAGAAATTAACTCATTATATTACTAATTTTCGACATATTTTGAAAATAATTGTTGTTTAAACAAGTTTAGAATATCTAAATAAATTTGTTTTTGATCCTTGACAAGCAGTATATAAATTTATACACTTACCTCTGATACAATAAAAAAATAAAGTTGCTAATTAAAGTAAGTTTAAAGACAAATAATTATCGGATTGTTTAAAGACCAATAATTATTAACGATAGGCATTTGAAAATACGCTAATTGTTTTTCTTTAACTCGCGAGACATTGATTTAAAAAAAAATCATCAAAATCGGACCTCTAGAAGCTGAGGTATTAAAAATTTTTAAGCACGTCGCGGTTTTGAACTCGCCTATTCAATTTCGAGCAGGCCAAAGCGGCCGCCCTCTCTGCTTTCCCCATCACCACCACCCGTACGATTTTCTTGAATTTCTCACTTGCATAAATAACTTTAAACACGTTTTAAAGTAGGTTGCCAATAAAAAAAAGTATTGCAAACTTAAACCTGGTAAGTACTCGGAATACCAAAGGTATTTTTCGAAAAATTAGCCCGGATGTCTCAGTACATTTACTGTAAAATGACGGTTAACTTTGATCGGCTATAACTACGTAATTAATTGACCAAAGAAGCGTCTTTCCAAGAACTTTTAAAACCTATTTTAAAAAATTTGATTTGGTTGAATATTTAGAAAGTTATTCTAATTATTTTAAGTACAAAAATTCTAAAAATGTTTAAACAAGCGCCAGAGCTCTCCTAATTAACGGATTCGAATTTTTCAAAAAGCGTTTGAAAGTTTGAGAGCCCTTCAATATGTGATTAAATTTTCAAGTATCTAAGGGCCTGTGCAAAATTTTGAAAATTTGCACATTTTTTTCAAAATTTGGATTGCAAAATTATTATGCAAAATCTATCAAACCGATTTTGATGAAATTTGGTGTGATGATTCTACATAACATGAAGATTTCTTGAGCCACGTATGAAGGTCCTATACCCAATTTAAGGACCCCAAAAAAATTCCCTAAAAAGTAATGTTTTTGACCCCATTTTGGCGATTTTTTCGATTTTTACAATAATAATCATGATTCATTCGATTTGTAACTTGTAGTCATATTTTGTAAAAAATTTAATTACAAACATTTTTTCCTCTTCCATTTTCGTCTAAAATCAACTCTTGAAAAGATACGTAATTAAATAGGAAGAAATTATGACATTTTTCGAATTTTTTAAATATTGTGCCGCCAAAAGTTAAGCTCACGTTTTTTTTATGCGCATAGAAAAATTTTCATTTCTAGTGATATTTGAAAGCCAAAAAGCCAAAAATCTCCGTGGATATACGATTCACCCAAACCAAAACAGATACCGCCTAGTCTAGTCAAATAATATTAAAATACGCTTGGCTTAGTTTTAAGATAATTTTTTATAATTATCGTTTAATTTTGACTTGAGTCAACAACAATATAATTAAAATTATTTCTTATTCAGCACCCTTAAACGTAATTTTCTGAAAATTAAAATAGAAAGGATAAAAATAGAAAACATGAGTCATTTTATTTACTTATCTTTTCATTCATGTCAAACTCAGAGTGCAATCTTTTAAAAACTTTCAATTAATATGAGTAAGATTTATGCTTCATTAAACACTAATTTTAAAGGATTTTATAAATTGTGGTTATTCATTAATTTCTTTTAACTGAGAGTAGAGTATAATTCACTTGTTTTAAAAATTGTGCGAATTCGTTTCGAGCGTTTTGAATCTCTATTTTTAATTCATGTACACTTGCGCAATTTGTCTTGAAAAAATATTCTAAAAATATTCTCTGTATAGTATTACCTATATCGCAGACAGCTGAACAACAATCCATCAATTTGACGCAGTTTAAGGTAAATAAGGTAAGTGCAATTTATTCAATAATCTACTAAAACATACGTACTGGTTTATTTATTAATTGAAACTAATATGAAAAATATACGATGTACTGTAATATAATGTACAAGGTGGTTTTGTTGAATAAAATTTGACAGAGGTCTCGTAGAAGCATTACTGGAATTTCAAAATTTACGTAATAATAGGTGTGGATGGCCTGAACCGAACGAACAAGGAAAACTTTCTTGTATGAAAATAATACAATTTAGATGAAGTCACCTCAGTAAAATTTTGTTTCCTTAAAAAGTTCATTTGCTAAGGATTCATTATTATTATTAGTAGCAGAGTGATCCTATCTGTTTTATTAATAATAAATTACCTGTAATAGTTAAATTTTAACGAGAAAGGTTAATTAAGTAGATAACATAATGACTTGATAATGCGTTCCTTTCTTTGAAAACGGAATACACATCATTAATGAAGAAGAAAAAGTGTCTACATCGAGTAAGTCTATTATTTATTTATCTTTGTATTATTCTTAATATTCAACTTTTTATATAGCAATTGTATTTTTTTATTTGTAAAATCAAAAAAACTGTTTTTATTACTCAAAAATGTTTTTTAAGTAGGTAAATAGCTGTTTGCCTACTCTATTTATTTGCGTGCTCTAATCACACTTGCCGCCCGCGCATTGACAATAAAACACGCAACATCTAAATAAACTACGCAAATCTATGCTAGAGCTATCTCTTCATAATAAGTGACTATAATATTTTATAGTCACTGATAATTAAATAATTAATTAATAATTAAACAAAAAACATTCAAAAATATTATTTTTAAAAAGAAACATTTAAATGACAGTTGATAGTTATTTATGTCAACCTAGCCCCACTGGGCGACTAGATCATAAATTTCAGTTGTCGACCAATTGCCTAGCAGTGCAGTGCAGCAATGCGGAATTTGGTGTAATTAAATTAAAACCGTACTGCACTAGATCCCTTGACAGGCAATGATTTATTACTTTGCATCGAATATGATCCTACTATAGGTACACACATTGTGGTGCGTTTGACAATTCATATTCCCGAATTTTAACCGATTCATTTGTAACGTAACCATCTTTAGATATCTATACAGCTTTTTGACTAAATATGTACCTAGGCATTTACTACTACCTTCACTGCCATTCGAACAAAGGAGCTATAATTTAAAGTAATTAACGACTCTACAAAATCTGTAACATCTGTAACTCAAATGAGTCCCCCTCTGACTACAATAATATTATCGTTCAAAATTAATGATTGACCCTTGACATTTAATTGCCTATCCATCCCAAGTGATAAGCTGACATGTATCAGTTGGAAATAAACTTTGTTACATATGTAAGTTTACGTAGTTTACATCACTAAAAAATTAAAAATCGGAGTAAGTATTACATATACTTGTAAATTCAATATCTAGCAAATCATACGGGAATTTAATACAAGATTGATTCAAATGAAAAGGTAAACTAGTTAGGAATTGTTATGGGTAAACAATTTATTAAAATGTGTGGGCATAATATATTCATATTATTTCACACATACCCAACAGATTTTTAATACGTACTAAGTACTTAAAGTCGCACGATCTATTTTAGCGATATTCTTGTGCGCATTTATAGACATCTTTTTCTCTCTAAATCTGGTTATAAATCAACGACGGCAGTAAGTGCAAATATTTTTTTATTTTAAATACAGGGTGCCCTAGGTTTTAAACAGGATAATATAAACCTTCATATCACCGTGAATAGTAGTTCTTTTAATCTTAGAGATTCAGAATGTCGAAATTAGAAAAAAATATTTTTAAGTTACTTACTAGATATTACCGCTGTCATTCAATGTTGCTAGGCGCATGTAGCCAGCAGAGTAGTTGTTTCCCGCTATATCATCTGTTAGTAATCATTGTTAGACGTCATTTGATAAGATCGTAAGGATTTTTTTTAATATAATAAATAATTTTTAAAAAATATCATATTTTCTGAAACATCTCTGACGATATTTAATGTAACTTGAGCTACTATTTTATCTAATTAGAAGTAAAAACATGCTAATTTAACTTACGACTACGTCAAGCATTACTCAAATTCGATGAGTGCTTTCCATTACGAACTGCATTTCTAAGAAAAAAGACGTCTTGAAAAAGGAGCCGTTTTAGAACTTTTTTTATGAACTTACCACACAAATAAGTAAATTGAAAAAACTCTAAAATTAATCATTGTACAAAAACAATGCATGGAATTTTGTTGTTAAAAAACATTTTAAATGCGTAATCTATCAAAAATCCAAAACAACAATGACGTAAAAATTTTTAATTTTCTAAAACTACACCTTTTAAGAAATTCCCTGAAAACTTTCCAGGTTGCAAACTTGAAATTTAAAAAATATATACAGGGTGATTCAGAACAAAAAATTCTGGATGTACAGGGGACCCTTACAAATACAATTTTGTAAAGAAAAAATCAAAAAAGGCAGTTCGAAAATGATTTAAAAATACACTTCTGTACGGCATTGGAAACTGGTCCACTGTAAAACCTGACCTCCCACAATGCGACCGGCATGGCGGTGTGATAAAAACGGACAAAAACTTTCGCAAGGAAAGAAATATGTAAATAGAATTTTATCGCACCTATTTTATATCGGCAAATTCAATTGCTTTTGCCTTTATTAATTAATACAATTAATATGTGTTTTTAAATAATAAAATCATTTGACATACCCGATGTTACTTACAACAATTGTTCAAAATTTTATCCACCAATGTGTAAATATATTTGGGTCCGTCTTACTCAGTTTCTACGAACTAACACAAATGTTGTCTTGCTTCACCATATCACAAATGCTTCACCATAAATTAAAACGATATCCATGAACTCCGCGTTGCTATACACGCAAACTATTTTTGACACTAACTACCCATTTTTGACACTAACTACTAAAAAAACTACTGAACAAATAACAGGTAAATACTATTGCAACGATTGCAAAATCCGATTTCAGTATTCGGAGTCGCTGAGGCCGCGTGGCTCTCCACGCGCATTGCGAATGACGCTAGAGACTACAGTTGTCCAGCTATGTAGTCGTTGAATGTACTATAACTTCAATAATTTTTTTCTCGGAAACTATAAGGATTTTACAAACATTTTTTTACGATATTGACTCCATTGCTCATGCCGCATCTATTCCCAAATTTTTTTGGATAAGTTCTGAATCACCCTGTATAGATTTCAATGTATTAATATGAAATCTAACATGAAAAAAATCACTGCGATTGTGAAAGATGCTCGGAATCGTCCAGACTAATAATTAGTGAATTTGTTTATAAGGCCATAACTTGTAAACTATTCAACTTACCGATTCCAGATTTCGTGTGTTATTTAGACAGTGATAAGAAATTGAGAGGATGCGATGACAAAACGTTCTGGTAATAATAACGCAGTTTATAAAAAATGATTAATTCAAAAGTCATAAATAAACTTCTTCTGTTTATAACTGTTTAACTGTTGATCTAATCAATATCCTTTGACGCTCGAGGGCTAGTTTTGTAGGTCTTTTGAAGACGAAAAAAAGTACTTTACTGTTTTCTCGTGGAAATAAGCGAAAAACGTGAATTTACGTAAAAATTATATACAATTAGCCAGCCTGTAAACAATCTTCCCCCCATTTTTATGACTGTGGAAACTAATATGTTATTGTACATAATATTTATAGACCAGGAAAATTAGCGAAAAAAAAAGAGAAACTCGAAAAAATTCTATCCGCGATATTATTGTAAAATTGTCTAAAGGAACATAATACAAGACATCTCTCATCTTGTGAGTCAAAAAATTGTATTAGCTAACTTTTCTATTTTAACAAATAAGTGAGGAAAACAGTTTTTTCACTTTGCAGGGAAAAACCATTAATTTTAGCGAAAAGTGGCTCACAGCTTTTAAGGAATAAAATTATCTACAAAATGAGACTTGTTAAATTAAATCAGTTAATAAACAAAAAAGTTATTGCAAAAAAAACAAGAAAAGTGCCGATTTTTTAAGTTGTTTATAACTATCGCATTTATTGTTAAAATTGTATGAAACCTATGACAAGTTGAGGGTTTTGTCATACTTTAAAAGAATGCCAAAAGTGGGCGCTGTAGGTGCAATAGTTTTCGCACAATTCAATTTGTTTATAACGGAGGCGCCAAAAGTTATGAACTTTAAGTCTCTACAGGCGTTCATTTTCAACCAAACATGATTCTGAAAGCGTCATTGGAATCTTAAAGACATAATTAAGCAACCTATTTGAAAATATCACCGTTTTTTTGAGAATAACATTCTCAAATTGTGCATTAAAAAACCGTGCGTTTTTCGCTTATAAACAATTTGAATAAAATTGTTGCTATTTATGCTACCTCACCGAATATAGATGCAATTGATAGCTGGCAAAAAAATATAAATTAAAAAAAAACACCCTCTACGACCAACAGGAGCCAAGATAAGAGTATTTTTTTTAAATCGTAGCGCAATAGGCCCATTCTAATTTTAAACTTTTTCTTTCATTTTCTGATAGTATTTCACCACCTAAATATATCTTTAAAAAATTAGGTCAATAGGTTAATTCTGAATTTGTAAGACCCTTAAAAAGGGCAACACTGCGGGAGAACAGGTAATGACGTCACGATACCGGCCACTCGGCGATTAAGTCGCGAGCAGTCGGAGAGATGTGTAGATATTTGCTATACTTTTACCTATATTATAACCTATATTTTTAAGTGTATAAATAGAGAGTGTATAAGAGATATACATCAAGCCTTGTTGAAATGCATTTTTCACACAACATATTTATTATAAACATAGAATGACTTGGAATACCTAAATACATTTTCGGATTTTTCTCAATGACGTAAATGGTTCGTTTTTCTACATTGTTTTCTGCGTTCCATTTTTGTACAAATGTACCCAATGTACTAGACTCGGTACTTGTGGATGTATGTGCCAGTAGTACTTTGACTAGTATTTGAAGCAACTCAGAACACTGTTTTTCGTCATATTTGAGGTTATGTAGTAATGACATCTACTCTTTTTTAAAAAAATTCATATAATTTAAACGTACAAGGCTCCCTCTTTCGAATGCCGTTGAGTTTGCTCAAATATCTTTTTTTTTTTCGTTGAGATATCACATGTTTAAATTTCTAAATTTATCAGTTTCTTAATATGCGAAAATCTACTAAGGATCCCTTAGACGTCAAACAGTTGATTGCAGTTCAGAAACTTCATACTCAAAAACTTTCAATACATACGAACTCAAATTCACAAACTCCAAATCCACAAACCCCAAAACCACAATCCCTAAACCCACAAACCCCAATCCCACAAAACCCGAACCTACAAACTCCAAGCTTACAAACCCCAAGCCCACCAACTCCAAACCCACAAACCGTATGGGTATGAAGTTTCTGAATTGCAATCGACTGCTTGATGTCTAAGGGATCCTTAGTAGATTTTCGCATATTAAGAAATTGAGAAACTTAAAAATTTCAACATGTGATATCTCAACGAAAAAAAAGATATTTGAGGAAACTCAACGGCATTCGAAGGAGGGAGCCTTGTACTTTTAGATTCATTGTATTAGTTTTTTGAAAAAGAATAGATGGCATTACTACATAACCTCAAATATGACGAAAAACAGTGTTTTTTGCACTTTTAGGTTAGGATATCTCAAAACCTGACGATAGAGCAATTCTGCTGCCAGATTCGGATTCAGCGCACCTAAATCCTTCGGAAATATATATTCAAGTTTCTGTTTCCAAAAAAAAGTTAAATCTTGTTGGTCTGTGTTATCTTTGACTACAACGAGAACTAGAAATGGCATTTTCACATGAAGAAAAGTGAGATATACCTACATTAAAGCACCCTGAACACTAATACTATTGATGCTTCCCAAATGTAATCAATATTTAATTTATTTTAACATTGGAAATGTTTAAGGTGTAATATTAAACAGAAAAATGTTTATTTGGGAAGAATAAACTTTCAAAATGTAACAAACATTCGGTCGCGGTAACAAACATTCGGGTGCTGAGTGCAGGAGTGATCCGATTGGATGATTTTACTGTCGCTGTGTAGATTGGCTATTTTTTGTAAGACTTTGTCTCTCTATGGTTATAAATGGTCTTAGCGTTAGGGTAGGGGTTGAATTTGTTTGTAGGGGGCCATAAGTCAATATCGTGGTATTCAAAGGCAAAAAAATGAAAATTTGTAGCAATGACTTGGTAGTCGACAAGGGGGTACCTATATGGTGGAAACATACAGGATGGTGTGTTTTATGGTTTTCGAACAAAAAGGCGATTCTTAATTTTCGGCAAAATTGACATAACGCTGTATCCTTCTTTTTGCAATAAATATCGTAAAATGGTTTAAATTTCTACAGGCACCTTTTAAAATACATGCCACAGTGTTTGAACAAATACATAAATAATTTAATTTACAATACCAGTGACGTTTGTTTTGTATCGAATGTCTCTTTTACTTTTTTAAGATACAAAACGTCCATATATGTATAAGAATATTTAGAACAACCACCAACAATAACCGATTACCTAGATATCTTTTTTTAGATCAATCGCCAAGTAAACAACAAACACAAACAAAAGTGATGTCTTTAATTGAATCGCCAGGCGTGACTTTACCGGAACTAAAATCATAACAGAATGACTGCGTCGTCACTAAGTAGATAATAGACCAACAAAAGCAGCGAGATATTAAACCACCGAGGAAAATTTAGAGGAATTTAGACACAGAGGAAAGTATTCAGTAGACGATGAAAAGGAACACGGGTTTGTTCTTAGTTCTAACGACCATTTCTTGTCTACTTCTTCTACAGTATCTTTACTATACAAGTGTCTCTAGAAACGCACCTGAGAATGTAGAGTCCAAGAATATACTTTACTGGACTAAAATGTTCGATCGAGCTGATTTCTATCTAGGCTTAGGAAGTCAAATATTCGAAGGGTGTGAATTTAGTAATTGTTACGCCACAGTTAATAAGAGCTATCTACCGGTAGACCAGTTCGATGCTATTCTGTTTCACGGGAACGAATATCATTGGGAGGATCAAGGGAAACCTGAGAGTAGATCGCGACACCAGTACTACATCTACTCGAATCAGGAGTCTCCGATTTATAGTACGCAAGGGTTTGGTCCGGTCAATTTTTTCAACTGGACCATGACGTACAGGTGAGTGAAAATATGGATAGGTGTCTTTATACGAGGTTTAATTATTAAAGTAATGCTTTGGTTATACAGGGTGATTCAGTCATGTCATTAATTTTAAGGGAAGATAGGGAAAATGAGTAGAATAAGAATAAACGATTTAAAAATGTTTAAAATGCATATTTATGCAAAAAAAGGTTTATCGAGAGTGAATCTTAACCTACCGTAATATTCGGTCATTAACCTAGCTTTTAATGCGATTTTAACCACTAGTGAACGACAACAAATAAACAAAGCTTTTCACCTAGACACATAAATGAATAAGATATTATTTATTTATTAATAAAAACAAGTGTATGAGGATAATAATTGTTTTCGAATGTTAGATTATTACAATTTAGTATTTTTAATATTGTTAACGTTTTCACTATGTTTTATAATTGAATACGAGTTTTTAGTATTATGTTCAATTAATTATTCAGTTTGCACCTTATTGTGCGACTTATTGCTTTACAAAGAGTAGTATGGTACCTATAGATTTAAAACGACAGTACGGCTAAAAAAACACTCACTCATCCGTCCATAAGCACTTAGTTAATAAAATTGGGATCCGCTATGCCTTGATTTTGAAACCAATTGCAAAATTCAAGAGGAGTGGGGAAATCAGCTGTTTCGCTTCAACGTTCGAACGCTCTATAGTCCGGTGCGTGCCCTGTTGCGAAGTAAGGCGCCGAATTAACGGGAATAAGAGGTAATTTGCTTATTTTGTGAATGGTCGAGTAAAATTTCTTTTTCGATTTTCCGTTTTCCGAATATGTGGTTAAAATTAATGACATTATAACTGAATCACTCTGTATAGGCGCTATGCTAACTATTTTCACCATGTGTTACAAAAACAGTCAATGTAATTTTTTAATACAATTTTACTAAAACATTGGAAACATTTGGACAACACATACGCTCGTTTTTACATTCGTGATAATGTTAAATTAGATGTGCTTTTCGGTTATATATTAAATGATGAGATTTTCGTCTGGTACAAATATAGAATCTACCCCGTGCTACAAATTTGTGCAAGAACGGGACAAGTTTCATGTCACTTACCCCCTTCCTACATCACATATGTATACTTGCGCCTGGTATTAGTTCTGGCCGTTTGCTTTAAAATGTTATTTTTGAAAATAATAAAGTATAATCTAATAATTGTGTATACAGAAAAAGATTTTGTATATTATTTATTCACGTCAGCTATCTGGGCTAAATTTAAAAATAAAAGGTAAATAACACGCCTTTACATTTCTTCATCTTGCAAAGTAAAAAGGATCATAAGAAAACATAAATGAAATTTTGAGCATGTCATCATTTATTTATACGAATATTTCACTTTAACTGATATGCGAATATTAGATATAGGTACTTAATTTGATCAAATAATGATGTGAACAAAAATAATAATTTTAAAAAACCTGTTCCTGTCCGGAACAATTTGCATATTGGCTCTTCCTTAATGCACCAGTCTACAATTATAGTTGATTTGAAAAACCATTTTTTCACTATTAAAATATGTAATGACGTTTCTTTTTTACCTTGGTTTGTTTTTGTTTGTTTCCATAACTAGAGATCATAATATGGTGTACCTGGAACCCAGCTAAGTGGGCTCACCACTAACGAGTGATATGACGTCACAATAAGGCTTCCGTGCGTTTTCTCGTACCCCGTTTACATTATTTTGAGGGAGAAATTGTTAAATTATGATTTTTTGCATACAAAGTATGATCAATACTTTCTGAATAATAATTTAAAAAAAAGCATGTTAAATAGGCAGATAATAGACATTATCTTCTTGTTCAGTCAGATAATTTTTAAAAATATTTATTGTTCTATTATTATAAAATAGCGAAGTACGGATCACATGTATTTACTATTTTTTAATAATCAATAAACATACATATAGTACGATATTTGGACAGAGCAGAAATGATTCTTTTAATAAATAAATGTCACACATCATTTTTACGGATGAAATGTCAGAAGTAGTGATAAAATTTTATATATTCAGTTGCCAAAATTAATTAAATCTCGATGAATTCTTTTATCACAAGATAGTGAGAGAGAAAATTTGATATGTAATCATGGAACTTTTATCCTCTTTAAATATAAGTACTCCAATAAAGTTTATCCATATTAGTAGGTGGTAGAATATTGATTTATGCAAAATTTCCGTCCTCACCTAATTGATGCACCAGAACTGGATAGTATTTGTTCAAATTATATATGTATGTAGGTAGTAGTTACTATGAGGGAACTACATTCTAAACGAATCAAATAATTTCTGCTTTAGGTCAGATTCAGATATCATGCGCCCATATGGATATTACCAAAAGGCGACCACTGTCTACAAAATGCCAACCGCAGCTGATGTGCAACAAAGGCCACACAAAATAGTTTGGATGGTTTCCAATTGCAACGCTATGAGCAACAGGAACGATCTCTTCGAAAAACTCAACAAACACATTCCGATAGATGTCTACGGAACCTGCGGAAATAAATCATGCCCTAAGGAAACCTTTGACGAGTGTTACGACAGGCTAGCGACGAACTACAAATTTTACTTATCTTTCGAAAACTCGATCTGTTCAGAATACGTAACGGAGAAACTATATGCGGCACTGATGAGAGACTTTGTACCTATCGTTTATGGGGGCGCAGATTATTCAAAAATCGCACCTCCAAACTCGGTTATAGACGTTTCTAAGTTTAGTTCTATTAAGGAACTAGCTGAATTTATTAAGACTTTGGATGAAGATCCGAAAAAGTACCTTTCTTACTTCGAGTGGAAAAAAGAGTACATTGTGAAAAGAGACAATAAACTTACTCTGTGTACTTTGTGTAGGAAATTAAATGAACCCATTGTACATAAGTCTTATACAAATATTAGAAAATGGTGGAGCTATGAGATGTGTTTTCTCGATTATAAATTACCAGAGGTAATATTTACGTGAATTATTGTTTTATTCGGTACCTATTGTATTGAAATCGATAATGCGAATATAATAATTGAAATGACATTGGGATTGAACAATTTTACATTCGAAAATGCAAATAATAAATTTTATTTTTTTTTATACCGAGTAATAAGAAAGTTTTGCTAATATTTCCCCAATAAAGGTAAGTAGATAATCTAGACTTTAGTTGAAACACGTTGAAGTGTGTTATGTACATATTAAGGGTTAAAAATAATTTACTGTCCATCTGTTTCACCATTTACCATCTGTTAATAAGAAACCTTTCCGGTCATATAGCTCTCTGAATAAAATATATGTCGTTGCTTATCATCACCTACAGCCGCCAATTTTAATCCAAATCATTTGAAAAAATTCACAATACTACCTGAAAACATCTACAATAAAGCATTCACGATACTATATCTTGATCGATTATTCCTTGAAAATTCCCAAAAATCACCTATTTTCCTAACTTCTACAATGGCGTTACGCCTTAAAGCAGATATTTTGTTAGAGAATTTCTACTTATGGCTAAATAATACCTATTTCTCTTAGTGTAGGTACATAGACCAGAAAATGAATTTACTTTACTGTACACACAACCTACCAAACTTTTCATTAATCTTTTCAATTTAAACAAGAACTATTTGCAATGCTTTGTAGGAATTTGTTCAGAATATCGTCAAGGCAAACATTATTTGTCTTCTTTCTTTTTGTATTAAAATTCACACATACAAGTACAAATATTCGACTAGATGCGTACCTACCTAAATGAACAACCTCTTGAAGTATAGCTCGATACATACAACTCCTAGAGTGTCGCTCGTGATCTTCGGTAGTCATATTCTTAAAAGCCTCCATAGTCTGTTGACATGCCAGCCTCAGAAACGGTCTTGTTATAAAACACTGTGCCTTGAACTCTTTAAACATATCCTTAAATAATTGACTCGCTGGGAAGTTTCTGAAGTATTCATTCTCTTCGGTACAATTTTCCAACTGTATTCTGTGGTAGCAGCACGGCATAATTACTAGACATTTAACAAATTCCAATTTCGAGAATAAATCTAAAATGGTTATGCTCAAATCCGCACAAGCGTGGAGGCCCGCTATGCAAACGGATTTTTGGGAACCGTTTGGGAAATATTCTTCCAGTAAAGCGGCTATTTCGTTGCCTGAATTCTCATCTATATAATGTTGTGCAAACTTAACATGCCCTTTAGAGTTTGGGTAAAATTTATTCTGATTTTTGTACCCCATGTTGATGTACTGGGAAGAGCATTCTATCCCCAGAACAGAATATTTATAGTTATCATGTAAAAGATGGGAAAGGTAACCCTAAAAGTAAATATATAATTCTAGTTTCGTTATTGCTCTTTAAAATTTATATGCATAACTAATTTTAATAATCAGAAAAAAGTATGGACAATCGGTTTTATTTGCAAAATGTTAATCATAAAGTTAATTAGTATCCACAGTAACCCCTAAAAAGGTGTAAACATATTATGATGCTAAAATCTTACACCTACTACCACCAATATTATTTAAATAATACACTGGCGAGCAAAAAATTGGGGTCACATCGATAATTGTAAATAATTTTCGAAGCAATAATATTAAGGATGCCATTAAACTAGTAGCGCTAAACATTTGTTTGTAAAGACTTGTTTTCTGTCATTTAGTTTAATTTGACATAAAGGGGCACTTTGGTAAGGACGTCATTAAAATAGTGTGCAAGAGTAGTAACTTCAATTCCACATTTTGGTGCCTAGGGTTTAGTGTAGTTTATTTATGAGTAGATTTTTCTTACTGTAAAAACCTCGGTTGAAAAGTGTATTATTCATTTAATAAGCCATCGTTCCTTTGGACTTTGTTTGAATTATAGCGTTGTTAGAGGACAGTCGGGAGCAACGTGAAATAGCAAGAATTGTGGGTGTGAGCCTTTGTGGTGTACAAAGGGCATTCCAGCGCTATCAAGAGACTGGCTTGACAACCAGAAGATCAGGATCCGGGCGGAAAAGCGTTACAACCCAACGAGATTACCGTTTCTTGGTGTCCACAATTTTGCGGAGTAGAACAGCAACTGCGGTTTCAATGCGAAATCAACTTCAAGAAGTGAGAAATGTAAATGTCAGATAGAAGAAAGCTTTGTGCTGCTAGATTGTCTAGTAGAAGGATGGTATAGGTCCACCACATCAACCCTGGCATCGAAATGCAAGATTGACTTTTGACCGAAATCACCTGGCGTGGATTGCGGAAGATTGGAGCAGGATACTGTTCTCCTCAGACGAGTCGTTTTTGCTTAACTGGGTCAGACGGACGTCGACAAGTATGGAGAAGACCCGGAGAAAGATACGCTTCAGTTTGTATTGATGACATTGATGACTTCCATTTGGCAGTGGGTCAGTTATGGTTTGGGCGGGAATTTCTTCACAAGCACGTTCAGAATTAGTTTTTGCAAGGAATGGCTTTTTAACAGCTCACAGGTACATTACAGAAATTCCAAGATCATGCTATGTCTTCCTTGATTACTATGAACGAGCACAGCATTTTAATCACGATAATGCTAGGCTCATGTAGCCCGAGTTACTACAGAGTATCTGGATAAGGTCGGAATTAGGCGGTTTGATTGGACAGCTCGCAGTCCAGACATGAATCCTATCGAACATGTCTGGGATGAGTTGGGACGACGTATTCGAAGGCATAAACCAAGTCCAAGAACTGCCCAGGAGCTGAAAGAATTGATTTTGCAGGAATGAAATAACATAGACCAGAATATGATCCGTACCTTAATTGCAAGTATGTCACGTCGACTTCAAGCAGTCATTAACGCAAGAGCAAGAGGAAATACACGTTATTAGAGATTAGTTTGTTTAAATTTTTTAGTTCCATATTTTCCAGAATACCAATAAGTCAAACTTAGTTTTAAATGTAAATTTGTTGTTTTGTTAGAAAAAAATCTTAAAAATTCAATATGTTTCAAAGTCCACAATTTACTATTCACTTTCGCCAACACAACAGAATACAATAATTTACAATTGTGAAGTATGTATACGTATAAAACAAAAAATTCCGTAAAATGTTACAATAGTCAATTTTTTACTCGCCAGTGTATAATGGGATGTTGAATAAGTTCTCGCTATTTTTTCTTGAAAATTAATACTTTATTTAAAAAAATTAGTAAATAACGTGTTACTGAAAGTATTGTCCATCGCTAGGCACTACTTTTTCCCATCTTTCTGGCAGCATTTTAATTCCACGTTGAAAACACGACACGTCTTTTGAGGCTGTCTAAGAGTTTACTCATTTTTTGTCATCCTCATAAGAATGGGAGTGCTGCTTATCCAGGCAATGTGCCATCGATCGGAACGAGTGATGATCGATGGCACATTGGGATAGGACTTCCAAGTAGGTTTTTACTGGTTTTGCAACATGCAGCCGAGCGTTGTTATGCCGCAAAATCACTGCGTGTCGTGTCTCTGCTCGTATAGCGACCGTTTTTCTTCAATGCTCGGCTCAAACTCATCAATTGTAGTCGATAGCAATTTTCCGTAATGGTTTCTTTCGGTTTGAGCAGCTCATAATAAACTACACCCAGCTGATCCCACCAAATGCAGAAGCTTGGAACCATGGATATTTGACTGTGCTGACGATGTTGACGCATGGCTGGATCTACCCAACGATTTTCTACGCTTAGGATTATTATAGCGTATCCATTTTTCATCAGTCACGATACGACGCAAAAAACCTTTTCTTTTCTGCCGTTGAACTGTTCACACGTGCAGAGACGCGTTCGACGTCTCTCAGCTTCAACTCGTACTTGCTTTTTAATCATTCCTAATGCTTTCAAACGTTTCGAAACGGACGGTTATGTGATGAACTCCTAATGATTCTGCAAGTTCAGCTCTGACATCTCTTTATGAAGTACCTAATGCCACCAATCCTTTATCTTCAAACTGTTTCGGTGCGTTTGAAACGTATAAACCAGTATCTTTGCATGTTGGTTGTCAGAGTATGGTCGCCCTAAGCGTCAACAAGAATTCGATGTGCTTTAGTTGCACATTTCTTTTGAATAAAGTAATGCAGTAAAATTCCCCGGAAATATTCTTTTTTTCCGGTACGAAAATCGACATGTTTAACACTATGAAATAAAAAGTAGTTCAACTAAATGTATGCAGTTCTAGTAACGTCATCTGTTGGAAAACAGCAAGAACTTATTCAACGTCCTTATATGAAACGTTGCAACTGAAAATCTTACCAAATCTGCACCAATATCTATAACAATATCAGTGTCATTTTGTCTACAAATATTATCAATCAATGGAGCAAGTGATACAATCTCATGGAGTTTTTTTCTGCTCAACCCAGAATTATGTACCAATTTAGGATTGCACTTTTCAGAATATGTGTTAACATTTGGTTTTAGTTTTGTTATTTCACTTATCAGAGTCTTTAGATTATCAGGACAGTCTTCCTGAAATGATTGAATAAAATCAAATCAAATAAAATCAAAATTAATAAATAAAATCAGCTCCAATTTCGTTTACTATTTAGTTAATTAATTTACTTACCTTAACTTCTCCTTCCAATAAACTGTTAAGATCTTTATAAGATAGGTCTTTAAAATATAGCACCCACTCATTAGGAAAATGTTTTAAAATTCGATTAACTATAATAAAAGTATTGTGGTAGTTGTATAACCAAGAAAATGATTTTAAAAAGTTTAGGCAATCTGAAAGGTAGTCCTTTGATGAGTTATAGGTCGACGGTAAAGCCATATTCTGCAAAAAGTACGCTTGTTAGCTTGGATGATGATACATAATATATTGATTAACATTAACAGTATCTAATAATTAATTTTAGATTCGAATAAAAACAAAAATGCAGTTCAACATGAAAGTGAATCCAGTCAATTCCAACACATTTGCAATGGCTTGTAATTAGAACAAACAAATACAAAATCTGAATTGAGCTAAAGTAGTAGGCAGGAGAAAATATTCTAGATTTTGATTAAGTATTTTCCAAAGTGCATAAATATTTGAGACAGACTTAATATCAGTAGGACATGTAATTGAAAACTTTACAGCCGTTATACGTAAAACTAAAACTACATACAAATGTGTATTTTCTACTTAGGTCTAGTGCTTAGTCAAAATATGCACATTTCTTTTAACGATATTGTGTAAAACATTTAATCCAAAGGTTACATGCGCGGTACAGCATTAAATTACACCCCCAATATTTAGTCAGCAGGTTTGGAACGTACGACAGGCGAACTATTTATTAAACATTTGAATATCTATCTATCGACATATTTCGAGTGTGGGTAAGATATAACCAAACCAAAGTAATATATCATATGATATTTAGTTGTTTACTAAATATTGGGGGTATAATCCAATATTGAACTGGGTAGGTAGCCAGGAGAGCAGTAGTTTCCCACAATATGTTAATTGATAAATGCCTGATACGGCATTAGTCATAGGCTATTGACTATGTACTTTAGATAGGAACTATAACTTAACAGAAATTTTATTGTTCGATATGTTCAATTGAACCTACAAAATTATGAAACCGCGAAGTGCTACCTTTTAAAGGGGTGCGTTTTTGAGATCGAAGTAAAAAGGTGGTATTTTCAGTTTTTTGAGTTTTACTCGAAAACTATGTATTTTTTCACTATAGTTGTCAACAGAAAAATTGTAGCAAATTGAAGTTCCAATCGAAATGAGACCTTCTGAACTCAAAAAAAATGTATTTTTTACAAAAATATGTCCAAAAAACGACTAAAAAAAAACGAAAAAATCCTTTTTTTATTTCTTTTTGGTTTTTGGCCCACAACTTTTTTCTGAGAGGAGCTAGGTATAGGCATTGCTTCACATAAAAAAAAGTTAATGTTTTTTCCTTTAAAATAAGCCTAAGCCAAGATCGTTTTAGTAGCGGACTGAGCATGAAATAGTTAAGCAAATTTTATAAATTTATCTCAACTGGTTTCGGAGTTATTTAGAAAAAACCATCATCAGAGTGGTCCCTTTAATGGCTATGACTTCCTTAGGAAGAATTTTTGGACCCACGTTATATAAAGAAAAAGTAAGTGTTCAACATAGAACACCCTGTAGAAATATTGCCCCCTAATTTCGGGACACCCTGTACAATAGGAAAATAACAACTCGGGGTGTCTTAGAACCCTGTCTGAAAACCACTTCGTTACAATACAGAAAAATATTTATTAACTTTATCTCGGTCATTTCTCAAGAATGATATAAGAAAATCAAACTTCAATTGTAACTAATTAAATTCTTTATTGACATTCTCCGAGATATATACCGATTATAAAATTTAACTTACCATTCATAAATATAAAAAATACAATACAGCCAGGCATAAAAGTAACAAAAACAGATGTTCATTAAACAACAAAAACAATGATAACAGTACAGTACAGGCACAATTAAGCATCCATAACAGTCCATAACTCATTCTCCCTCTTAGACACCTCCATCTTATCGTTTTTCGGTCCGATCACAACTTTCCCAGTGTTCAATACGTTCTTTTCACTCAAATACTTATCAGCAACCTCCTCAATACCGTCCTTGTCTACTATCATTAAATCTGCCCTGTACCTCTGTTTAATATCAGGTGTTAGTCTCTTTAGAAACTCCTCGCAACCTTTATGACTAGGAGGAACTGGTGCATCGACAGACTGAAAGACGCCCAATTTTGCTTCGAATACATCTTGTACTTTGATTTTGTCAATTTTTTCAGTCAACCATTTATAAGTATTATCAAAAATATCTAAAGTTTCCAAACTCCTGGGATCCCTGTAACTATAAAAGGAAAATACTCCGTCCGGATTCAACCTCGCCCCACCACCGTAAGCTCCTTGTTTCTCTCTCAGTTCTGATAAAAGGTACTTAGATTGAACCAACCTAGCTAAAATGGCTAATTTTGGGTAATCTGGATGTGTGTATGGAACCGTGAGAACAGATTTGCTGCAATAATTTACTGGTACATTCAGGATGTGATGTTGGCAGTTAACTGCATCTGTTGGAGCCCACACCTTGCCGGTTATGTACGTGTTCTCTGTTGCGGGAGTTAATGATTGCGAACATTCAGGTAAATCGTTAATAAAGTTTTCGTAGCTGCGGAGGAAGTCAGTCTGAGTATCTGCAGATATGTTCAATGCCACCCTGAAAAAGGAATTACAAAATATAGTCGCAATTTTAGGCAAAGTGGTCTTAAATTTCTCCAGATGTTTTTAGAGGTACACAAAAAAAATAAGGATACCTTTTTATAACTTTTTTCTGCACAAATAAAAAATTTCTATCAATAACATAACTTGTTTTACAGATACTGCTTTCTATAAATTGTTCAAAATGTCTTTTGATTGATATTCCTTTTTTCCCTAATGCTCTAAAAATTAATAAAGGGTGATTCAGTTCGAATTTACAATTTAAATATGGCAACACGGGTTTCCTGGCAACAATAAACAGTTGATTTTTGACATGTGTCATTAGTAAATATTGACACTTATGATTATGGAGCGGTATTACACAGAAGAACGTATTTTAATTGTTAAAACCTATTTTCGAAATGGAGAAAATTTAACTAACACGATTTGTGCATTGCTAGGTTACTTCGGTAACCATAACCGTCCATCTCGAGTTGCGATTAACAAATTAATCCAAAAATTTGACCAAATCGGATCAGTGTAGGATGTCCAAAGACTAATACGTCCTCGTAGTGGTCGATCAATCGAAAATGTCGCAGCCGTGAGAAACAGTGTATGTGACAATCCATCAACTTCCATTCGCCGTCGTTTTCAGCAATTGGACCTTTCCTACAGCACCACCCAGCATATTTTAAAAAAAGATCTGCACATGTATGCCTACAAGATTCAATTAAATCGGGAATTAAAGGTAACCGATCATAGACAGCGTCATATCTTTGTTGATTGGGTATTGCAGCATCACCAAGTTGATAACGATTTTTCGAGCCAAATTACATTCAGCGATGAAGCACATTTTCAACTCCACGGATGCGTAAACAAACAGAATTGTCGAATTTGGGGTTCTGAAAATCGGCTAGCCATTAAGGAACACCAAATGCATCCACGAAAAGTTACAGTTTGGTGCGCATTTTGGGTTTGGCGGAGTGATAGGGCCGTACTTTTTTGAAAACAATCGAAGTGATAACGTAACAGTTAATGATGAACGTTATCGTGACATGCGAGAAACGTTGCAATTGTTGCACACAAAATTTCCCAACCGCGTTATTTCTCGTTTTGGTGATCAAAATTGGCCACCAAGGTAATGTGATATCACACCATTGGATTTTTTTCTTTGGGGTATGTGAAACAAAAAGTTTATGCCAATAATCCCAGGACAATTCCAGAGCTAAAGGACGAGATTCGTCCCATTATTCGTGAGCTTCCACAGGACTTATGCCGAAGAACAATGGACGATTTTATCAAAAGGGCGGAAGTCTGCCAGGCTGCTCGTGGCGGCCATTTAGCCGATATCATTTTTCATGTTTAATGTCAATGTCTTAGTATTATAACAAAATAAAAATATCAGCAGTTTTTAAAAAAACAACGGGTTTTATTTATATTTTAAAATGTGACTTCTAACTGAATCACCCTTTATTTATCAAAAAAAATAAATATATGTAAAATGAAGTAAAAATAAAACAGTTAGATATGAAATAGTGATAGTCTCCCTCAGACTACATATTTGAATTTAAATAATATTCCATAAATTAGTTCCCTGGTGGCGTAAGTCCAAATTTTGTTCTTAAAGTGAAGAAATGTCACATCAAGAAAAATTAAGCAAAATTATATTTAGACTTCCTATTTTGTCTTATAGAGGATAAAAAATAAGTATCTGTATAAATTTCTTTTTGTTTTTCAACAGTGTATCTCAGAAATTAAAGCATTTCTTGAGCCATATCTATGGAATTTTTTTCTTATTTTGAGAAAATCTATCACTGAATAAAGTTTGGTTTATGCATTTTGGGACCCTGTGTATAATAAATATGGAAGTGAGAATGTTAACAGACTAATAGAGTAACCCATTCACTAGCAGCACTTCTGCACCTCATAATATAAATACAAGTTACAACTGATATTTAAAAAAATTCAATGCAAATTTGAAAAATTTCCTGATTCAGGTTTTCACGATATGCAGGACTTTAAAAATCCGCAAAAAGAAACAGTATCCATAAACACATTTCCTTGTATCCATATTATCCTTATCATTTTCGAAAATAAGGTTATACAAAACGGTTTCCTTATTTTTGGCAAATTAAATTCAAATTAGATTAGATAATTTTTTTATCCAACTTTTGTAACCCCTAGTTGAAAATTAGTGTTCAATCAAATAAAAAAGTTATTTTATATTGCATTAGACAAAATCATTAAATGTTATATGGTTATTTGTAAACATATAATTTTTAGAATGGAAAAGTGCTCTATTTATTTGCTTAATCTTTTGTTTTATACAGGGTGTTCTGAAAAACAGTAGCATAGATTCAAGGCGTGATAGAATTTCTAAAAATATTAAAATTTGTTCCTATGAACCATGGGCGTATCTTTTTCCGTTTTCAAGATACAGGGCGTTGAAAATAATTTTTTAGAATCTAGTTTCGGTACCATCTTCCACAAAATTCGACCAAATCAACTGAAACTTTGTTATGTGGGGTGTCTGGGGATGCTAAATGCTCTGGATTAATTAATTTTTGGCTATATCATACAGGGCGTTCAGTGGAGTATTCCGCGGGAACATTTTAGGTCCTTAGCTATTTTGAGGTTAATCTTTTTGCCCCTTTTGTCTCTTGCTGTTATGGCAAATTTTATTCTAAACAAAAAAGGTGCTTTTGTAAGAAGAGTTAAAATTTGCCCGTTTAAAAAAAAAAAAACAGGCACAGTGCGCCAAAGTTAAGCAGCTAGTATCCCAAATTGTTGTTTTTTATTTCAAGTAGGTTTCTGTTTGTGACACAAATGTGTCAAATGAACGTGTTATGTTCATTATCAGAACAAGTATTTATTTTAATTCCTGAAATAAGAAATTTCACTTGCTACGGTATGAATAACGGTAATAATTATTCAAACTCAGAATATACCGATATGTTGCTGACTGTAGACGAATGTTCAGGGAACAGTGAAAGGCGATATTCGGAAAAATTTCCTGGTCGCAGATTAACAAATAGAAATTTGCTAAATTTAAAAATTTCATTGCTTTTGACGCTGATTGTAGAGGATGCCACCTATAAGGGTATGCTTGAATTAAATTGGCCCTAACTTTTTTACTACTCGGTACATTAACGTTTCGTATTAGAGCGTTTTTAAACAAAAAAAGTATGCTTGGTCGAAATCTCTCAGACTAACCATTTCCGAGATATTGACTGACGAAGAGTTAAATGCACACCATATTTTCAAAGTTTCTATTTACGGTGAAAAATTTTAAAATTTATTTTCACAATCTAATCAGTAATGCAATGATCTTGAATTTTAGCTCTTTATATATTTTTGATACAACCAACCGTTTACGAGAAAATCAATGCTGACAAACGGTAGTATTGTCATTAGTCAGCAGTGATTTTCTTGAAAACGATTAGTTGTGTGACAAAAATGTAAAGAGCTAAAATTCAAGATCATTGCATTACTTATTAGATAGCGAAAATATATTTTAAAATATTTCACCACAAATAGTTTATAAAAGGACCCCGCACTTTTCTTATATAAAAGTGGTTTCAGTTAAATTGGCTGAAATTTTTATATGTTACAGTTCTTAACCTGTCGATCAAAAGTCTCCATTGGCACAATATCCTAAAGTTCATAGTTTTCGAGTTACGTTGACTTTAGAGCAATAACTCTGTATTCGAAGTGGTAAAAATGTTAATTGATATTTTTTGCCATTTGCATTTGCATTACCCAAGGTGTACCACGTGGAGGTTGCAAAATCAGTCCAACACCTCTTTGGGGTGGCTCTTTTACCGTGAGGTCCCCTTGCCTCTCACCATCGGCGTGTCTTTTTTACCGTGAGTTCCCCTTGTCTTTCACTAATCTTAGTACGTCTATTAGATGCATGTATTTTATTTTCATGAATCCAATATATCATCAATTTCTATGTTACTATATCTGTTGAGACTATCATTAATATAGTTTAATATTGTGTCACTGGGGTAATGCACATTTTGTTGATATCGCGCAAACCCTAAATACCACAACACGCTGGCTACGTGAGCACAACAACCTATTGTTCTTGCACCAGTTTTACAAGTGCAATAATATCCGAGAATGGGCTCTTCGTTTTCATCTGGTTCAGTCGCATAAGATACCCACAGCGGATGTTTCACTGCATTCCAGAAACGTAAGTAAATTCTGATCCGTACAAAACCTGGTTCTAGAACATGTTCGTCGAATTGAAATACTTCTGTTTCTTCTATATCAAGTTTATCTTGAATGTAAGATGGAGCTAAACCAACCTGGTAAACACCAATGGTTATTCTATGTAAATAATCGAGGTCAAATCTAGGAAATTCTCTAGCATGATTTTCATTAAGTTGGTTCCATATAGCATTCCTTCTAAAGAGATTTTCGACTTCAACTCGCGTTTGAACTTCGTTCACATCATTAATTCTTTGACGCAACTCTCTTGCTAATGGAACAGTAGCATCCTGCATTATTAACAATTCATAAAATCTATTAATTATTGCGCCAGCTATTTTGTAAAAATCTGCGAGATGGAGCATATGAGCTGCCGGAATAATACCAGAAAAGCAACTAAAAATTGATTTATCTGCCCATTATGCGCCTCTACGACCCACCTAGACTTTGTAACAATTCAAGTTTCATTGGCTTGCAATAAGTCAAGTTGACGTTCTCTTCGTTCAATAAATGCCAGCATTTTACAAATAATTCCCCTCTCCTGCAGGAAAGGTACAGCATCTCGATAACCTCTATCCAGTAGAAATATATCTCCACGCTGAAACCACCGCCCAATGCCATCTCTATCCCTCTGAAATTCTGCTCTAAGAATAGGAGCATCATTGTTTCTTGAATCAGCGAATAATGGTCCGTGTATATCTAAACTGTACCCATCAGGGGCTACTAATAGAATAGGCTTCACTAAATGTCGTCCTTTGTGCACAGAATAGGATTGTCTTAAAGCTCTGAAGTTACTTGGTTTTTCAATGAAACTGTATGTTGCATCAACAATAACTATAGCTTTGGGATTACCAATATTAGGGTTATATAACTCATTTACGAAAGGCGTTACATGCCTAGCATTAAACCCAATAGACTCTGGCACGAACCTGAGCATTAATGATCGCCTAACTACAGAAACAGCTAAACTTACAGCTTGTCTTGTACTGTACCTAAAAATAACTTTTAATAGGTCATCGAAAGTCCGTTGCGCATTTTACATAAAAAAATTAATTGGTCTTTTTCAGATACAAATCTTTGCTGTCCTCTATCTTGAATTGGAAACAGGTCTGAAATATTTCATTAAACTCATGTTTTGTTACCGGAGTTACTATCTTGAACTCTTCTTCAGTAAGGTTGTTTATATTTTTAAAATTACAAGCATTATTTTCTTTGGCTTGTTCACGTAGAATTTGCAAAAAAAGTACCTAATTCAGTGCCTTTAACTCGATATCGTCGCTTTATACATTGCAGCTGTAAGTAGTACTCTTGAAGAAGTAGTCTAGTGTTATCAAAATGTCTTGGGCAACAGCGAGTGGAAGAAGGAACAAAAATATTTAACTCGATAAAAAGCTTTACTGTAGCTTCTATGGAGAGCCAAGGCTGATTTTCTGGAGAGTTGCAGATCAAGCACGTATTATTCGAAGTTTGTTTTAATACGTTGAGAATTAAACATTCAGGATCGTTTTCTAGTTCCTCTAATTCTCCATTAATTAACATATCACAGTTCACACACATGCGAGATTCATTATCAAACTGAGCGGGAGGGTTGTTCAGACTTTCCCTGTGCTGGATAGCAATTTGGATTTTTTGTTCATTTTCTTGCGGAATTTGTCTTAAAGCACGAACGGCGGTAGCAGTATTACAAGAAAAGCAATGAATATTTCTGCCAGCCATTATTAGTAGTATGTATTTACGAGTACGTACAAATAATGCAATAAAAAATACTTTATTGCTGTCAAATCTTTATTAAAGCATATAAATGATCTTAATCTGTACCTTCATATATTGTAATTTAAAAATGTCCAAGGCATCAAAAAACAGTATGACTTGAGAATATTAATCGATAAATGCATGTAATAAGGTACAGGGTGTTTCTAAATAAGTGTCGCAACGGAAAACTGTGAATTCCTCTTGAAAAAAGAAACATTTTTTCCTCTTCCATTTTTCTCTCCGGGCTTTCGTTTTCGAGATACACGGTGTCAAAACTTTAATTTTTTTTTTAGTTTTTCGCCAATATCTTAGGAATTGTTTGAACTACAGGACTGAGCTTTTGTACACACATTACCACTATTAATAGCTACATTTTCGCACCCTTCTCGAATTCATTGAACGTGCGTGGTGGAGATTTTAAGGTATCGTAAGGGTTTTTCCCCCCCTAAATTTTACGCCACTGGAACAATTGACTTTTGACAGCAAATTCTAAAGCGCCAATGAATTTTACACAATAAGAGTTCTCTTGGTTCATTGCTCTAAAGTCAACCGTTTTCAAGAAAAATGACTTTTTATGAACAAAAGCAAACATTTTGCTAACGTTCCATGTCAATACTATCGAAAAGTTGACCGATAGACGTGAAGCCTCAGCGGCAGAAAGAAACATGATTAGAAGATGTGATGCGTGCATTCAAGCCAACGGACGTAATTTTGAACAGTTTCTGTAAATTTTACTTGTCAAATTGATAAAAAAAAGTTAAAATCCTATCTGTTGTTAAATTTCGTTAAAATTGTTAATTATTACTACCTATTTTTTGAATTACAAAAGATTTTCGAAACGTTAGCAAAATGTTTGCTTTTGTTCATAAAAAGTCATTTTTCTTGAAAACGGTTGACTTTAGAGCAATGAACCAAGAGAACTCTTATTGTGCAAAATTCATTGGCACTTTAGAATTTGCTGTCAAAAGTCAATTTTTCCAGTGGCGTAAAATTTAGGGGGGGAAAGACCCTTACGGTACCTTAAAATCTCCACCACTGGCACGTCCAATGAATTCGAGAAGGGTGCGAAAAAGCAGCTATTAATAGTGGTAATGTGTGCACAAAAGCTCAGTCCTGTAGTTCAAACGATTCCTAAGATATTGGCGAAAAACTAAAAAAAAATTAAAGTTTTGACAACGTGTATCTCGAAAACGAAAGCCCAGAGAGAAAAATGGAAGAGGAAAAAAATTTTTTCTTTTTTCAAGAGGAATTTACAGTTTTCCGTTGCGACACTTATTTAGGAACACCCTGTATAATGATTATCACTTATACCCATAATATCATAAAACACTACAGTTTTTCAGTGTAAAGTCACATTAGCAATATTAATATAACGTACTAAGATTAGTGAGAGGCAAGAGGAACTCACGGTAAAAAAGACACTCCGATGGTGAGAGGCAAGGAGACCTCACAGTAAAAAAGCCACCCCAAAGAGGTGTTGGACCGATTTTGCAACCTCCACGTGGTACACTTTGGGTAATGCAAATGCAAACGGCAAAAAATATCAAATAACATTTTTACTCCTTCGAATACAGAGTTATTGTTCTAAAGTCAACGTAACTCGAAAACTATGAACTTTAGGATATTGTGCCAATGGAGACTTTTGATCGACAGGTTAAGAACTGTAACATATAAAAATTTCAGCCAATTTAACTGAAACCACTTTTTTACATAAGAAAAGTGCGGGGTCCTTTGAAAATATGGTGTGCATTTAACTTTTCATTAGCCAATATTTCGGAAACGGTTGGTCTGAGAGATTTCGACCACGTATATTTTTTTGTTTAAAATTGATAAGGGAATAAATGCACTAATATGAAACGTTAATGTACAGGGTAGCAAAAAAGTTGGGTCCAATCGAGGGTTCAGTTTAATTCAAGTGTGCCCTTATAGATGGCGCCCTCTACAAGCAGCGTCATTAGCAATGACATATTTAAATTTAGCATCCTAAAAAAACCCCGTACCCCAAGTTTTATGCCAACATTCAAATCTGTTTGAAAATTATTTTTAAAAAATCAAACGAAATAAAAAACTTTAATACCCGTCCAAAAATTCAGTATTTGTGGACCCACGTTTATACGGAAAAAAGTCTTATTTTGACATCAAAAATATGCCCATAAATTCTTTGTACTAAATTTTGAATCAGCCTGTATACTGAAGATTCCATCAAAGGAAAATTGAAAGTAGCTTGAATAAAAAAAGATGCAAACAATTTTGCAAAGGTGTTGCATCAACAGTAAAGCAAGATTTCTGCTTTTATACTTAACTCTGACATGATCCTAAAAATTAAATTTAAGTTTTAAGTGTTGTTCTATTTTATCTTGATTAAATTTGTTAATAAATATGCATTTTGTTGTTTTATTCTGTCAGTAAGAACCATTTACTGGTTTTGATACTGTAATAATTAACACTAAAATAATTTTCTAGAATAAAATTAATTGCCAAACAAGAATTTACCATACAATATGAAATGAATTAATTTACTTCTACAGATAAATACCATAACAATATGCTTACCTCATTTTCTTCTTGTCAAAAAGTAATTTCGCGATATTTACAATTTCTGCTAACATAGCCTTGTAGTTAGAAGTGTGGATCAGTCTCTTCATGTAGGAAATGTGATGTAAGCCTGAGAGAAGCTCTACTTGGTAAGCAGATCCAGAAACTAGACTAGCAGCCGCTTGCATAGCATAAATATGTCCGGAATCCACAACACCATGAGTTAAATTGGCCATGTACAATTGTACCAACATTTGGAACCTCTGAACGTCTAGCAATTCACAAATTCCAAATACCTGGGTCCAGATGTCCCACATACTCTCCACGTTCTTTTCCAAACAATGACTAGATAGGAAAATACTAGGTTCATAACTATGGAGATGGAAAAGGCTCTCGGCAATGTGATTGTTGAATACCAGACCAGAGGTTTTTCGGTTAACCAAACTATCAAATTCTCGATAATTTAGTTTATTAGTTCCCAATTTGTTTATAACGTAGCAGAACAATGGAAGAAGCATTTGTTCCTCAGGGGATAAGTCATTGGTATTTAGAATGGCTTTGAAATACACAACACCATTTGAATTTACTTTGTTTATTTGCGTTTGAACATTGTTAAGAGTAACATGAACTCTATCCACTTTTTCCACCTCATCACTTATATCATCTATTGTGAGGGTAGGAAGTAAATTAGTATTTGCAGGTTTTTGTTGCTCCTTTTGCAGTTCTACACATTTTTCATATATAGCCTTTTTGTCTTTATCAGACAAGCCCTTTGTTTTACTTTTTATTAATTGTTTTTCGGCTTTTTCAAGATTTGCTTCATAATTTTTATCTGGAGACATACTTAGAACTAAGCGATGTTTGTTTTCCTTAAAATATTGCTTGACGAGTTGTTGCAAATAGTTAGGATTACTCTTCAGTTCTGTTCTAAATCGTTCGATAAGCTGGTTAACCTGGAGGGAAGGCACTACTTTATCAGAATGGTTCCATGTAGGAGTGATACCAAACAGTAAATTCAGTCCAAAGTTCTTTGTTTCGTGTCTAATAGCAAGCTCATATCGATGTAATACTGATTCAATATGCTGCGGATCGAAGCCTTTCTCAATTACACTGTTAATTGTTTCATCAAACAATTTCACGACTCTTTCCATATCTTCATTTTTTAGTCCTTGTAAACCGACTGTAAAAATTGTATCTCTTGGTTGGGCATCAAAGCCTGTAGATGGCGTGAATCCTCCGGAGAAATTTGGTTCGATCATCGACTTATAAAGTGGAGCATTGGGGCCTTTGATTAACAGTTCTGTAAGGAATTGCATCAGAAATGTTTCGTATGCATCTGTATTATCAGATAACAGTAAGGACACAGAGGTTGTATTTTGTTTTTCAAACGGCTCGCCCATGGTGTCAAATCTACAAGCCACATGTTCCTTTTTTTGTTCTTGCCAACGTTTCTGTTTGGGGACTTTGGTATTTGAGGTTAACGATTGTGTATGTTTACTCAAGTACTCAGTATTGAGATATTCCAAAGTAGGTATTAAAGGAAAATTGCCATATGAGAAAAACCTACAGTTACTGGGATGATAGTGGTCTACATGAAATCTTTTGAGGTCGCTCCATGTCAAATTTGGTATCTCCATAGGATCACCGCCGGATATAACACCATATGTATGATCTGGTAGAATCAAATTCTGTAGTTTCTGGACGAAAATGTTTTCATTTTCGGAAAATACCCCTTTCATCTCATTATACACAACACCTTTGATAATAATATCGGTTTTTATGTCATTTGGATCAACATTTTCCAATCGCCAACCTTCTTGCATAAAATCTAGTTCTTTGAGATTAGGTCTGAAGACAGCGTCTAAGTACACTTTTTGTAGGTTTTTGTAGTCTGAATAATTTTGGGTACTGAAAGGATACAGAGTATAATCTGATCCTGTCATGGCATTCATAAAAGTAGCCAGTGAACGGTTCAACATTTTAAAAAAGGGATCTCGAACAGGATAAAGCTCTGAACCACATAATACAGTATGCTCTAATATATGCGGCAGGCCTGTGCTATTCATCGGTGTAGTTCGAAAATTAATAGAAAATACATTATTGCTGTCATTTCGGTATAGATGCAAATACTGTGCATTCGTTTTTTCATGTACAAGATGTATTGCTATTATTCGAAATTCTGGTATATCTTTGAGATCCTTTACCTGAAATCCATGATAACGTTCTCCTATTTGAAAATTTTGTATGTCAGAACCCTCGTATTCTGCTTTGGCTTTAGGAATTTGTGAAAATTTTCTTATAATTTTTGTCAGTGATGATGTCTTTTTAATATATGAGGCTATTCTTCCTGACCACATTACTGTTATATTTCTTAGACACTGAAAGGATTCAAAAATAGTTATAGTTTAGAGTGTCCAATGAAATTATTTTGTATTAAGTACTTATCAAATATCAGTAGATACCACGGTAAGGTCTCTATAAGCAAACCATTCTAATAAGAATAAAAAATATCTAAAAAAATGCATGAATTTTTATCCTTTATTTATAGAAACTTACCTTGGCATTTATTTTTGAAAACGTTTGTTGGAACTTCTTCATAACTGAACTGACTTATCTACATATAGAACTACTTAAATAGCACAATATTTACAATTTAACTATTTCTGTATTTGGGAAAACCTTTGTAGGTATGTTATTAAAGAAAAATATGTAATACCAGTGAAACATAAGTATTTAAAACACACTTTAAATTAAGTAAGGGTGTTAAAAAAAGAGTGTAAAATATTTAAGGAGGTAATGGTATGAACCAAAATAAGCAGAAAAGTCTCAATAACAAACATGGGTCCGCAAAGTAACGGTTGCGGAGATATGGAATGTTTTATGTTTTTTAGCCCCTTTTTTTATTTTGCAAAAACGTGTATTTTCTTATAATAGTTGGTTGATGTTTAGTGAAATAAACAGTACGTATTTGACAGTTGTTCTCAGTGCACAAGTTTTCTTTCGCTATGGCTGGTTACTCTAACGCAGAATTAACACACATGCATTTCATGTATGGTCGTGCTAATGGGAATGTCACCGAAGCGCGACCTCTTTATGTTGACGCTTATCCAAATCGCCAGATTCCCTCACAACGCATGTTTGGAAGAATTCACCAAAGATTGCGTGATACCGGTTCCTTGAGCAAACAGTGCCATTTATCCGGAAGACCAAGGTCGGTATCCACTCCTAGAGCAGAAGAAGAAATTCTAGCACTGGTAGAGCAGAATCCAGGTACGAGTGTGCGGAGAATATCAGCCGAGGTAGGAATTAGTGGTCCTCTTGTTTGGAGAATCCTTCACGAGCAACTGCTTTATCCATACCATGTGCAACGAGTACAGGCCTTAAATCCAATAAATGATCATCAAGCACGTTTGGTTTTTTGCCGCTGGTTTCTACGTCATGATGCTGAAGACCCTCGTTTTCTTGCAAACATTCTTTTTACTGATGAGGCCGGGTTCACAAGAAATGGAGTGTTTAATTTTCACAATACGCATATTTGGGCCGACGAAAATCCTCATGCTCTAATAGAATCTGGACATCAGGCACGTTTTTCATTAAACATTTGGATGGGTATTGTAGGTGACAGGTTTCTAGGTCCTGTTGTTTTACCAAACCGATTAACAGGCGCTGCTTACCTCAACTTTCTGCAGAACACACTGTATGAGTTTTTGGAAGACATTCCTTTGAATCAGAGGCAACAAATGTGGTTCCAGCATGATGGTGCTCCAGCTCATTTTTCCATGGCCGTTAGAGAGCATTTACACCAAACTTTTCCACATAGATGGGTAGGAAGGGCCGGACCTGTTTTATGGCCTCCAAGATCGCCTGATCTGAACCCTCTAGATTTCTTTGTTTGGGGATATTTGAAGACATTAGTGTATGGTACTCCTGTAAATAGCCTGGAAGAGCTGCAGCTACGGATTAATCAAAAGTGTCAAGAAATCCAAACCAAGGAGGGTGTTTTCGAAAGAGTTCGAATATCATTGAGACGAAGATGTCGTGCCTGCTTGGAAATAGACGGAGAGCACTTTGAACATCTTCTGTAACTTTGTTTTTTGTTTGTTAAAAGCTTCCCTTGTCGGTTTATTCCTAATAAAATAAAATGTTTGAAAAACGAATAATGGTCCATATCTCCGCAACTGTTACTTTGCAGACCCATGTTTATTAAGATTTTTCTGCTTATTTTGGTTCATACTATTACCTCCTGAAATATTTTACACTCTTTTTTTAACACCCTGTATAATTTTACGAATATACCAATACGAAAATTTTAACCACACACCACACATTTATCTTGTCAATAGCAACAACTTTCATCTAATATTTCTCGAAAACCTCTTTATTTTTAAGATACCTTAATTTTCAAAACATTTAACGTTTTTGTTACCAGTCACTAGAGAATAAGCCAAAATGCGCTTAGTTGAGTTAATAATAAGCAAAAGGAACGCAAAAAAATTGTATTAATTACACTCATTATTTAGTATTTAGACTAGCAAAAAAAATTACAAAATTTTTACATACTATTTCATCATTATGCAATATTAAAATTTAATATATATATAGGCATATTAGCAAGTACTTAAGTATATAAATGTGTTAATAAAGAAAAATGTAAATTATATATTAATTTTACAACCGGCGATGACGGATATTAAATAAATTTTCACTTATTTGTGGAGGTATGACTGTACTGTACCTTTATAATGAATAACACATTAATGTATATATAAGTTAATTATAAATAATTGACTTACCTACAGCTTTTAATGGTTATTACAGAAAAATCACTTCCAAACGTCGGTTTACATAACCTCAAATAGAATACAAATACAACAAATTGCACAACGAAATGCGACAGACGTTCCCGTTCAGTTCGATATATTTTTAACCTTCAAAAATATTCACTGCCGGTTACTTGAACGCTAGTGTAATTTGCAACTGCCAGATGATATACTTTATAAAGGATGTTTTTTTCTGTTCTGCTCTGAAGAATAATTTAATAAAGTATTGACAATCTAAAATAATTAATTTAATTTTAAAGTTACCGCTTCCTCGCGACTAGGAGATGGTATATCGTAACACTGGAAACATTCCACGATAACGGCTTTATTATCTGTTGTTAGTCTTAAATCACACTTTTTACACTGTATCTCAGGGGATGGTCTTTCGTTGGAGGTATATAGAATTTCGTTTGGAGGAGGAATTGTATCGTATCCTGGACAAGCAATGTATGGATCCTACAAAACAAACAGGGTTCGTTTCCAATTCCAAATTATGGAATAAGATATGTAAACAAAATTAATTTCTCTAGAATTTAATTAATCTGCCCTTCACAGATTTTTTTTCGATTAATGATTTATATATTTTTTTGTATGATTTTAAACAAAATTTAAATAACTGTCAAAGCGCACACAGTTAAAACAGCATAGCCAACATAAAAAAATACAAAAATTGTTTTCCATTTATTTAATCTGTAGGAACTAACTAATTACTAAACCGTTAACTGATTAGAACAATAGCTGCTTTCTTTTGGTTTCAGTTTTCGGATCTAAACGCGTTATGATCCCAAAACAATGCACGGTCCGTACGGACCAGGACAACAATGTCCATATTTGTTTTCTTGTCTCCGGATCTTGCCAGATTATATGATAAGGATCGGTAATCCCCTTTCCCCTATGAATCAGACTTTTTCTGTGATTCCAACTTTTGATCACGATCACATATTTAATGTAATCTTAAAATTGTGGTGGTTTCTTTTTTGTCTAAGAAGGCAGTTACTATTTTTATTTTAATTGTGCACAGAAGAATAGGTATACCTAAAAGACATTTAAAATCAAATGAAATGTCAACAGTAAACAATTTCCTGTTCTCTTCGAAATAGGATTCAAGGATCTAGTTCGCGTTTGTCTGATCCTGATTCAGTGATCATAATTCAAAACTGAGAGCGAAAGAAAACGGCTATTATGTGAGTTTGCAGTTTTATAATTTGAATCTAATTTACAGAGTAATTCGAAATTGACTTAAATTAATATTTACAAAAAATAAACTCATATACATATTAATTCTTATACGTTTATATACATACTGCTCATATCAACAATGATTGATATTATTGATAAATATTAACATTATCAAACATTACATTACATCATATATGATGTAATAATGTTGAATGGCAAATACCTCTATTCTAAAAAGGAATACAGCTTTAGGGATGAAAGCAAATGTATTTTTATGATTTGTTATTGGATTGGCAGCCTTGAGTTTTTTTGGCACCTTTATAAATCATAAGTAGGCCTCTAAAATAAATTTTAAGTTTTTTTGCAGGGTTTTGGGCTTTTGTTTTTAGTGACGCGATGAGGTGATGTGACCCTTAACTGCTTAATTATTTGATAGAAATTCAAAGTTTTATATCTTAGTCAAAATATTAAAGATAACTATGGTAAGTATTGTTTACATTTATTAGAAACTAATTAGATTCTAGTTTAATTAAATTATGATTTGATTCCTTGCGGAAGTCAGAAATGAAAGTTACATTTATGTTTTCTAGAAATTACCATCGGAATTAATGATATCATAATCAATTTCGTCTGAAAGTACTATTCCTACTTTTATTAGCCTTTGGGAGTTTTTTCATTTCATTTCAGAATATACGAATATAAATAAGGTACCTGTTAATCTCAGATACTATTTGAAATTATAGAGCATTTTGACTGATTATTTTTTTAGTTGCTTATTAAAGTTTCTACATTTCTTACCGAAACTTCATCAGTTGGCTGTTTTAAAGGACAATGTCCTTCAAGTTCTTTAATATCCTTTTGTTCCACACAATGAACCTTATTTGCATCACTGTCTAAAGCGTCTATGTTGAACTGATTTTCATCACCAAATGGATACTTAGTGTTTCCATAAACTGTTTCATTTGGGACATCTTAAAATAATTCGTCAAATTAATGTAGATAAAAGAGGCTAAGTTATTATAATATAATTTACATAACGTTTTTAGCAAACAAACGGTGTTAAATTTTGTGTTTTCTACTACTTACTGGCACTTTTAAATTCGACTGCTGCATTGACACTATTTGAAAGAATGAACAAAATTAGCAAGATTAAAAAACTGGGCATTGTTAATGGTACTGAGAATTTAGACGTGTTTATATATTTGACAGTGATCGATTTGTCACATCATGTGAAGGTAAATATTTAATTGTTCTTATGTACTACTGTCTAGTTCATTTTATATATTTTCATATTTACATTATTTTTCTTTTGTTTTCAATGTAACAGAATCTACATGAGATATATAGGACAAGAGGGTTTATCTGACTTGACATTGCCTTTAGGCTGTCCACGGGTAGCGTGGTTGACATATTGTTCAGATCTAAAGGGGGTCCCATAAGAGTGGCAATTTGTTAAACATAAACTGTTATTATGAAATTAATAAAAGTAACAAACGTAATAAGTAATAATGATCAATTAGATTTAGATACATTAAAGGATGTTTATTGTGTTTCCCATATATTCTGACATAAAAAAAATCCAGGTCACTTGTAGTTCAGTAGTACCTACTAATTGATGTTTATGCATTAAACTTTTTCTAGACTGGACTCGATAATCTTTTTTATGCCTCTTATAAAGGTTTCAAAACCACATAATAGTTTTCTCTCTCAAGACCGCAGGGCCTGCTTTCACAAAATTTCCAGTAGCAAATGTCAAATTCCCCGATTTTCATGAATATTTTTAAATTCCTTGACTATTTCGTTTTTTTATAAAGAGTAATGAATTCCCCGACTTTTCCCGGTATTCCTGATGATGGTGTTCTAGGTCGCTACAAACCCTGCTTATATAACCAATGCAGATGTTGCCACAAATATTTTTTAGAAATTTCAAATTATAAAAATTGATAGGTATCTACAAAACTTACAGCATAGAGCTTTTGACTTACTTGCACTTTTTCACTCAGCGCGCATACATTGTATCTCTAAGCTGTAATATAAACTTGAATAGTAAAGGATGGAAATATTTTCAGTCTGCACTGAGTGTAAAGAGAAAATAAACTGAAAGCACTTTAAGTGTGGTGGTAAATAAAACAGCATATGCCAGTTACCAATAATACTTATAATAAAAATATATAAATTTCAATGTATAACAATTATAGTGCAATTAAATATATGAAATTACTCTCAACTACAATAGTTTGCTTGACAAAATACATTTACACATTGCATATAAAAATATATTATTTTATAATTTGATCTAGGTTAGCATCACGAAATATAACTTGCCAATATGACAAAAAATATAACACTTTCAATCACTACGCATACTTAACTAACATTTCAAATATTTTTACAAATAACTTAGTTCTTCAGAGGGTCTAAACTTTCCAAGGAGAAGTCATCATTTCCGAAGCTGATTCCACGGCTAAATCCAGTCTGTAAAAGAAATCTTAGATAATGAAAAACTTCTAAACGGTATTAATTTAAAATACTTTCTTATTTTTCAAGTTAATGCAAAAACAGTTGACAACATGGGCATAGCCCTAATTACCTATTGAGACCTTTCTTTGGTCATACTTAATAAATGTCGACGATTACATACATTTATTTTTTCCCAACTAATTCACTTATAATCCAGAGAAAAATACAAAATAAAAATGTTAAGGTGTCTAATAGCTGTTTTACCTACATTGTGAATTTATTCACGAATTTAATTCATGAAGTCGCTTCGTGAAGAAATTGTAGTAGTACAATGCACCAAATCTGTTGTCAAATAACTTCATGAATTTATTCATGTAATTCTTTATGGATCAGAACATGTTCTAATTTTCGTAAATTTCTTCGTGAAGTTCAGAAGTACCGACCCAACAAATCTTCAGTCTCAGATCGGTATTGAGGTTATCAGAACTGGGAGTATTTTGACAAAAAAAATACTAAATACTATTTTAAATATAAAATAGTATTTTGTGTTTTGTAATTAAATTACTTTTATTATAACCCCAAAAATATTTTATATTTCAAATACTTTAATAAAGTATTTTGTATTTTAAAGAAGTATTTAAAATCTTCTAAAAGTAATTTAAATACTGACGAGTATTTAAAATTCTCGAAGTATTTAAAATACCCAAAATACCTACCAAAAACAAATACTTTTTGTCTGTTACATCTGGCAACTGGTGTAACATGTACTAAAAAAATTACGCACCTGCACGCCTTAGTGCATTCTACTCTGCATTCTGCAATGTGCATTGTGTTATTGCTATTCTGTCTACTACTTTCGAGGTCTATCGTCACTACGTCGGTCAACAGACAATCATCAAAATTTAAAATTGATTTCTTTTATCATTAGTGGGTTATTCTAAGAAAAACTAATAAAAAATTATGAGTAAATTGTATCCTGCGTCTCAGTAATCCAAATGAAAGTGATTGTTTCCAGATTCATGTCGTTTTTTTTTTATTTTTTGACGATCTTGAAATCGGGCTTGCCTTACACATCTAATATATTTTTTCAAGTCACATCTTAAGAGTTTTAGATTTAATATTTCACAATTATATTTTTAATACTGTAAACGAATATTTTCAATATACAGGGTGATTCACAAACGGTGATTAAAAATGAAACCTCGTATTCTTTGCTGAATTTTAAGGGATCTTTCGTATGAAGTTTTTATCTAGGACGCTTCGTTAGAAAGATATAGTGTGTGAAACTTAAAAAAATATTTCTAATTTTTAAAAATAATTTAAAATCTAGTAAGTGAAATAATTTGAAATTGGGCACATGTAAGTAAACATTGTCCAAAATCTGAGGCCATTTCCTAAAATTTAGATGCTCCTGTGAGGGAAATACAGAGTATCGGTAGCATATTCTTTCAAACAAAATAGTACGCCATTGCTTTATGGTAATAATCATGATATATTCATTTTTCAATTTTTTATAAATTACCATATGTTTTACCTGATTTTCGAGTAAAACGAACTAAAAACAATTTTACTTAAATGATATGACAAACACTATAATCATTCGGTTATTTAATTGAGTACAGAAATAAATAACATTAATCGTCATTTTAATGATTTTATTTGAGTAAATGCTCAAAAGTACCTCAATTTCCACAAACACAGACGAAACATCCTTTTCCTTCTAACTGCTATCGCAGCCTACTGTGTAAATTTAGACCGCATTTTATTCGAATATGGAAGTGTGTTTTCAGTTAGTTTTGTAAGTTTTACTCAAAAATCAGACTTTTTTCGAAAAACGTAAGAGAATAATAAGTAATTTGTAGAAAATTGAAAGACACGAATCCGAAATATCATGATTGCTACCGTAAAGCAGTGGTGTACTATTTCAATTCACCAAACAATACCATGTTTCATTTTTGGTCACCATTTGTGAATATGTATTTAATACATTCACCATAATTAAAATACTATTTTAAATACTAAGTAATTTATATTTAAAATACTTTGTCAAAGAAGTATTTTGTTTTTAAGTATTTTAAAATACTTTCGTACTGGTATTTTGTAATTAGTATTTTAAATACATTTTGAAAGTATTTAGCCCAGCTCTGGAGGTTATGTTGTTGGCATATGTAAATACTTGTGTGGCGTTGTACTACTTGTGTATTGTTTTTATTGATCTGTTGCTTACAAAAACTAATATTTATAAACAGTGTCAAAATGGTATTACTGTTGTACCATTACGTATATGTGGAAATGTAAGACATTTTTTTGAATGAAATTTGAAACTTATTTGCTACTTTGATTTGTTGGTAGAACTAATTTGTGTCAAAGAAATTCATGAAGTCGGTAGCAGTGTAAAACCAAACCCTTTATGAATAAATTCGTGAAGAACTTCGTGAATTTATTTGTGAATAAATTGTCAATGTAATCATGTTCTGCAATACTCAAATTTATAGATACAAAATTGACCGAAAATAGGCATGGAATTCTTTTAATTTGTAATTTATGGTTTTGCTGTTACTGAATACAGTATTCCCTTGCAGTTAAGAACTAGCAAAGGCCGGAAAACGTCAAAACTACCCTATTTTATCTCATTATTACCTTCATTTCAAGTATTCTCTTATCTAATAGTCCAATAGCATTTTCAAGGTCTTGAGGAGTAGCTGCATTTCCAAAATCACCCATCTCAAATGGATCCAGTATTTTGCCACTAGTAACACTAAAAATTAATGAAACTTGTAAAATTTACTTCCCAACAAAAATAATACACCACTAAAATGAGAACATTTTCAAAATTGATTTTACCCAAATGACTGTTCTAATTTTGACAATCCTTTTGATTAAAATAAAATTTTTAAAAGTTTATGCCTCAATTAAGATGCTGTGGTAGAATTTTTATCAAAATGCTAGATTTTGGTATATAAAGGGGGAAAGAAATAAATACTGCTCTTATTAATTTTATTTGTTAATGTTAAAGTTTTAAAATTAAAGGCACAAATAGTAATAAAAAATAAGTGACTACTTAAAAACCATCAAATATTAATTTAATTGTGTATCTCAATTAATAACAGAGATAACATGAACTATTTAAAAAACCCAATTATAGGATGTTCCAAATTTCGAAGAAAACAGTTATTCTCACTTTATTTCTCTCTATTTGTCCTGAAAACTGAAATTTGAATAAATAATTTTATCATGGTTGATTTCCTTGTCAATAATTATTCTAATTTTGACAATTTTTTTTTATAAATAAAAAATTTTAAAAGTTTATTCCTTATTTACAATGTTAAGAGAATTTTAACTGAAATTTTAGTTTCTAAAATATAAAAGGGGAAAGAAATTCAGAACCTCATCGCTATTATTAATTTTATTTGTTTGTTGTAAATATTTAAATATTAAAGACATAACAGTAGTAAAAAAAAACAATACAAGGAGACGACATAGAAATCAGTAACTATTAATTTAGCTGGATATCTCAATTAATAACAGACACTGTTTAAAATTTCAGGGATTATTCTCTTTTTCACTGTATATGTCCTAAAAACTAAAATTTCAATAAATATTTCCATCTTAGCATCGTAAGTGAGGAACTGACAAGGAGGCCTATAATTAATAAAGAAAACATACTTTGAAACTGAGACCCATTTTAAGAGTGCTAATTTTAATGCAAATTGTATATAGAAAAATATTTCTTCTAAGTAGACGTTGATTTAAGACTAGAAATAAAAGTAAATAGAAAAACGTTTATACCTGTTTGGAGAGGGCGTTAGAGCAGGTGTAAATGGTGTAGTGCCAAACAAATCTTGACCTGAAGTTTTGAAATCACCATTATTATTACCGTTATTGGTATTAAGGCTGAGATTACTACGTCTAGGTGCCTTCGGAGGTGGTGCAACTGAAATTTAAAATAAAAATAACATGTTTTTTCAGTAAAAAAATGAAAAATAAAGAAAGCAGTTAATTTTCCAGCACAATTACAAAATATTCACATACAGACAGACACAAACAATAACATGAATTACTGATAGTAATGGCAGAAAAATATTAACAATTTATAGCATCATCATCACTAATTAACATGAAGGATTTCTTCAAAGCAAAATTATTTAATTATGTATATAAAGGAAAAAACTACTATAATTTTAAAGGAAGGTTCTCACAAATTGATCAGTAAAATCACACATTTCAATAAAAACTGATTGTCAGTTTTGGTTTTACAATAACGGTTGTTCAAATAGGTGTGGAAAAAGTAACCTTTTGTTATATGAATGTTGTAGTGATGCAGTTTAAAAATTTTTCTTCTTGTTGATACTTACTTAGTGGTGGACTTGAAGTGTTGCCATTGGTGTTAGGGTAGAATTGGGTATTGTGGTTGTTTTCAAAAGATCGGGGATCAAAATCATTGTCATGTTCTAATTCATTTAATAACAAGCCTTCCAGTTTTGTGCCCACTGCAGGAGTATTTTCAAATGATCTTGGTGGTACGGGTGGAGCTAAAAATATATCAAATAAACAACTTGATAATTTACAAATTACAAATTTTATGTATTTGTTATTATAATAAAAGGTTATCTTAATTTCTAATTTATATCAATTTAAAATTTTTGCCAATTCTTAGTTATTTTGTTCTAATTTGTAATAGCATATGAAATAATTATGGGCAGATATGAAAAAAATTACATTGATAACTTTTAGTTTGTTATCATTTTAATATTAAATTAACTATATAATCATATTTTAATTATCATGTGAATATAATAAATTATATCACTTTTTATTAACAAATAGAAATGTGGAAATTCCAACATTTATTTATATATGAGAAAATCAATTTTTTTTTTTAACACACAATGGCGAAGAATGGAATTCCACTTTAACAATTCAATTGTTTAGAAAGTTACCTCCATTCGTGATTTCTGAATTAAGATCTAAAAGTTCCTTTGTAGTTCCATTAGTCTGATTTGAGTTATTCACAGTCGTATTATCACTAGAAGAGTTACTATTATTATTCAACGACGACTTCACTTCCAATATATTTCTGATATCATTCTTCCTCAAATACTGATCAAGTTCAGGCCTAATACTACTAAACTGAGATATTTCCAACAGCCTTTGTTTATAAACGTTGTTCTCTTGTTCCAACCTTTTTATCTTCTGTTGTGTGATCATCGCCCTGCGCTGGGATTCCAAGTCCTTGCCAGAAGTTTCCAGGAACCGTTTATAGGCTAGTTCGAAGGCTTGGCCAATTGTTAGTGTTATTTCCTCCGCCAGTTTATCTGATATGAAAACGAAACATTCGTGTGTGTCCTCAGCCTCATTATCAACTGAAAAAAAGGAAAATTTGGAATTAAAAAATAATTCTTTTTGTTTTACTGTTTACTACATACAATATACAGGGTGTTTCACATTTAATGTGATATTTAGCTACATCTGAGGTCGCCATAGTTAGAGAGAGGATAATTTTAAAATTTTAGGATTCTATAGTTTTCATGGATTATTTGAAATTATTTAAAAAATAGAAAATACATTTTTAAAGAAATTTTTGTGTTTATTTCAACAGGGAACGTTTTGTCTTCAATTTAATTTTCTTAAATATAAACCGTTTTGGAAAAGTTATTATCAGTTACTTTTCTTCACAGATGTGCGCTTTTGCATTTTTTTACAATTTCACGTCATGAAGCTTTTGCATATTAACAGACAGTTAACATATAACAAAATTTATTATTAATAATTAAAGTTTCAAAAGGTATAGAAATTTTAATTTTTGTCCATCTTTTGTTAATTTATGGAATTTTTAAATATTAAACATTAAAAAAATAAATAAATAGCACCAGTCTGAAACATTTTTTAAAGACTATTTTTTTAATACAATAATTCACAATATTTTTATGGTTTTAAACGTTTTTGTTTTATCACTATTTTTAAGACAAAATTAACCTTTGCTTAAGAAAAATATTGGCCCTGTATAAGTTTACGTATTTGTTTAATCTTTTTTTATTCACCTTTTTACATTTGTTATAAATTTCCTTCTTACATTTCCCTTTGACCTTTTGAAACACAAAAAAATTAATAGATATGGGGTTGCTGATTACTTTTCTCCAAAAAGTTGTATAGTGTCTCTTGTCACTTTGTACTGAATACTAATCTACAATGAAAATGAATGTCAACTGTACAAGAAATTTTGGTAATTATTCCTTATAAATTTTAATTTGATTTTAAAACATCTTTTTTTAATACATCACTGTCATTATCTTGTGACTTACTAGACTTGAACATGTTATTACAGAAAAATTCTCATTTAAGTAACAGCTCACTGTCTTTCTATTACTAAATAAAATGAAGACTAGCTCATCACAGCTGACTGCCAAATTCGTCTTACTTTTACAATTGTTTTAAATTACAAGTTAAATAATGTGCAAAAATAAAATACACCTTTAGTGTTTTGTCACACTATTTTATTTTATGGTGATATCTGAAAAAGTGGCAAATACGTCATTTTGAACAATAATAATCTTTTGATTTTTTTGCAAAGCTTATCCTTAGTTTAGTTTCTTACGCTAACTAACTCAAGTAATACACGAATCAAAGAGTTAAAATATATAAATTCTAAAGATATCTCTTTTTAAAACTGTAACATCCTGTATCTTCAAAGATGAGGGCTTTAAGGATAAATGTTAATATAAAATAGTTTCTTAAATTCAGAGAAGACATATATTACTTCTTAATTTTTGACAAACCTTTGTGTTACACTCGATATATATATTTTTTCAATAAATTTATTGATAGTGTCAATTTAGTTCTACATTGTCATTTTAGAACAATCAAATCATGGCTATTGACAAAGCGTATACAAAATTAGCCAACCTTGACTACTGAAATAAATGTTACCATGCAAGTAAGTATTAATTTGTTTCTTCTTTCTTATACTACGACACCTACATTACCTATTCATAAAATAAATAACTCACCTTGGTTGGGTTGCTTGGCTATAAATGAGAAGAATTTCTTTTCTCCTTTATCGTCCGCACAGTACGATATCCTGTGAAGTGGGAATTGGTGTAATATATTGTGTGTCCTAGGTTCTTGTATCGCTACCCCATCTATACTTATCGTTAGTTCAACTTTTCTCGTTTTGGCACCAGTTTCACTCTTACGTAATTGTTGGCTAAATCTTAATTTACGAATACCTTCTTTGACTACTTCTATACCTGGAAGAAGAATTGTCGATTTTAGAAACACACCTTTGCTGTTGTTACAAAATAAAAATGTGCAATTTTGTCATATTGTTGTTTATTTTTAAAAATGAAGCAAAAAAATCTCATGAACACAGTTCTAAAACTGTTAAATGAGTGTAAAAGATTCATTTGCTTTTTTTTGATTTTGTATAAGTATTTCTAATATTACTTTATGAAGGCTTTGCATGCCTCATACAAAAGAACCGTATACCAAAAATCAAGAAATTAATATATTTCCCGACTTTTTAATGAATAGGTACAATGTAAAAAAGCTATGAGTTTTCATTAAATTATATGCCATACAAAAAAATACCTAAGTCATCTTACAGGGGTTTTCAGGATTAATTGGCTAAATTTAAAATTTGAATTCGGGTAATTGAAATGAGAAAAAAGGTCCTAGAAAGGACGTTCTGAAATGGGTAGTTTTCGAATATTGAGCGTTTAAATTTGAATAAGAAACTCACATTTTTTAAGACGCTTCACAAAGTTATGCAACATGTATTTATCTAGTCAAGTAAAAATTAGTTGAATCGCATATAAATATGGTAAGCGATGGTAGATAGATAGATAGATAGACAGACAGACAGACAGACAGACAGACAGACAGACAGACAGACAGACAGACAGACAGACAGACAGACAGACAGACAGACAGACAGACAGACAGACAGACAGACAGACAGACAGACAGACAGATAGATAGATAGATAGATATATTTATTAGTGTTAGTACACAAAAAGTGTTTACACATGTCAAAAAAAAATTATAGTAGTATATATCATTATGAAAAAAAAAAAATAATAATAGTAAAATATACAACACAGTACACACACGCGTATAACAGTGTTGACACGTAACTAGTTCATAATTTAAAGAACAACGAAAATGGTAATAAAACAATACAAGTACAAGCAATAAATGGTTGTCAAATGTTAAAATAAAATGTTTGTAAGAGGACAACAAAACAAACAAACTGTAAATGATACATGTCAAAATAAGATTATGAGTAATGTAATAAAAAAAACCTGAAACAATGCAACTGAAGTGTGCGAAGCCTACGTCTTAGTTAGTCATATTAGGGTGAGATCACTTTTTAAAAATCCTTGCGAAGTATAAATGCGTTGGTTAATAGAAGTGTTTTATTATTATTATGTTTAATAAAGTAGGTTGAGATGACGTACTGGAGCTGGTAGTGCATTAAAAAACTGGATGCCCAGATATGATGTGCCATTACGTGTTATACTTAAGCAATGAAAGTTTAAATTTATGTCATTTTTATTTCTAGTATTATGAGAATGGATTTGGCTACGGACAATAAACGACTCTTCATTTTCTTTTACGTACAAAAGACACTGGAGTATGTAAGTACATGGTAATGTTAAAATATCAAGTTTCTTAAACAGTGCTCTGCACTCATCTCTGAATTTTAAACCAGAGATTATGCGAATGGCTTTTCTTTGAGTAGCAAAAACGGTATCAGCTGAAGGTGAATGACCCCCAAATCAGGATTGCATATGATATTTAGGAGTGAATAAGGCTATGATAAGCAGTAATTAACGTTTTTTGAGATACTTTGCCAATCAAGTTGCGGATTAAATAGATACCCTTAGAGATCTTATTGCAGAGGTAGTGGGCGTGCCTGTCCCATTGCAATTTAGGATCCAAATATATTCCCAGAAATTTTACTGCATCAGGATTGTTTACATCGTCTATTTCACGCAAGCTGAACATCAATTTTTCGGTCTTAGATGCGTTTAGGCATAAGTTATTTCAAGTAAACCAATGTAATGCGTCATTCTCGATTATTGGAATGTCTACCGTCAGATCATCCAAAACATTATTGGCTATGGATAAGTTAGTGTCGTCAGCGAAAAGAATTGCGAACACGTCATTTCTCACAGAAGTTGGGAAATCATTTATATACAGTAGGAATAGTAGTGGTCCCAGAACAGAACCTTGAGGTTCTGTTCTGTGAAAGTACCTACTGGAAGCTATACTATCATCTATGACCCCAGAAATGCGACACCACTGGATATTTTGAAAATGCTTTCCTGTCTATTTAAGAAACATTTTTGCCATTTTATTGAAAAAAATAGACCATTTTTTAATTAGAGAACCTAGTTGTTTAGCAAAAAAAATTTATAGATTTTTTCTAAACATTTTAACTACAATATAGGCATAAAAAATTATTGCATCAATGATTAATTTTTAGGACTCGTTACATTACATTGTATTTAATATCGTATTTTTAGTTTTTTCACCGAGCGATTCTGTTTTTGTAGAATAAATTATTGATTTGCAATTGCAAATTCAAAATCTTCTTAAATTTATGTGAAAACTGAAAAAGCGGCATTTAATTAACTTCATTTGAAAAGCCGCGAAGCCGCGACTGTTTCATCTTAGATTTTTAATAGACCTATTAGCAAATTTTAATTCCGTTTAAGTTTCCATTCACTCGGTTTTACGACCACCGCTTTCATGGCCGACTGGCAGTTTAAAAATAATTTAAATTGCTTAAATGCATTACACAGCAAGACATCACAACCTAGTCGTAATCGAGAATTTAAATTTGAATAGCAAAAGAGACGCCCTTGATGGAACATTACATTGCGTCATTTTTCTTTGATAATAATACCAACACTTCAAATCATTATGCAAATAATAATAAATCGATGAAAGATTCCAAGAATCTACGTAACCAAAAGCATTAATTGAAAAGTTCTTTTCATTGTCTTGTTCCTTTCGAAATATAAAGGACATTTCAAAATGTCAAACGATTTCTTTCAGGAAATCGTTTCAAAGGTTGTCAATTTTATAAAAATTCATTTTGTTGCTTACAGACATAATGTACCTACTCGATGTACGTGTGTGCAGAAAAAAATAATCTAAAACTAGAGCATGCAATAAAAGTTTAATATAAAATATTTAATAGCAAGGTATCCATTTATATTGACGTCTAGAGAGACTTTCTTCTTCACAAGAAATCTGTTACTGAATATTAAGTCCTCTAGCATGTATTTATATTTGCTGTATGCATTAGGCCAAGACATGGATCTGATTCTTAAATTTTTACGGATCAGTCGTTTCTAATTAGTAGTTCTTCAATATTTTTAGAAAAAATGGAGTCGATTTTAACCGAGACGAGGGCTTTGAATGCTATAGTGCACCAGTGCACACAGCAAATATAAATACCGACCAGAGAACCTAATCTACAATCTGAAAATGTTTCTTTTGAAATGTCAAGAAGAATTGTTCAGCCAAGGTAACATGTCGTTTTGAATTTTAGTCGTACATAAAATTAAAGATTACCTTTTGGTTGGTCCACGACAGTGTTGCCCAAAAATTTTACCAGATACGCTATGTGTCCCTTCTGAAGTGCTTCAGGAGGATGTATCCATTTTCTTTCTCCATTTGTGCTGCTGTTGTTATTGCTACTATTTTTGCCATTTAACTTCCCCTGTGTGTTTTGAGCCCATTTCAGTAATGTCGACATTCTGAAAAAAAGTAAGTGTTTTTAGTTTTGGTTGTGTAGGTTGTTTCAATAAGTCTATTACAATCTAACTGATGAATTAGTCTCTCTCAATTGACTTAAAAATATCAATATTTTTTCGTAATGTAAAGAGGATGGCTTAGTATTTACTCAGAATTTGGTTTTTATGTAAGTACAACGTATTCTTTTTAAAATTTCATATACAGGATGTTTCACAACATTGATACGAAACGCGAACTGAACAGACTTTTTCTTATTCTTTGTATTTTTCTACTTTATCCATAGCCCGTGAAAAATTTTATATTTGCTAACCTGATGTTTTTTCGACACCTTATATACGGATTAAAATAGATTACTGATTTATTTATTGTTGAAAAATTTTATATTAACTAACCAGATGCCGTTCTGAAACTATATATAAGATGTTTTATAAAATTGTCAGGCTAGTAGCACCAGCAGACTAGGCTATTGTACTTCGTTTATTTTTTATACTTTCTTTATCGAAGTTGTTTACTGAAAAACTTTATATATTTACCAACGTCTTTTTGAAAAACTGTATTTCAAGCTATTTCACAATAGTGATCCGTAGAATCGAAAGCGAATCCGACATTTTTAAAATTTTCTATTGTGTTTATTAAAGTTTTTTGGACAGTTTTTTATATTTAATAACTAGATGCATTTACGAAACAAAACGGATTTTGGACATTTCTATTTTTTTTTACTTTTTTGTACTTCATTTATTGAAGTCTTTTGGAAACCTAATATGAACTTTGTAATTTTTCTAAAGAAAGAGTTTGTGAGTTTAAAAATACATATAATTAATTAATAATACAAAACAGCTTTGTTGTAAAATTTGTTTCACATTTTACGTCGTATTAAAATATTACCGTACAATTTTTGACACGGGTTATTTTTATTGATTCACATTATCTTTTTTCAGACAAACTCCTGAACGGGATAAAGAAGTTATGTATGAGGTAAGTGAGTTTAAATCAATATGCTTTTTGAAAATGGAGTTTTGCATTGTTTTAAAGATGCGATTTCNATTGTCAGGCTAGTAGCACCAGCAGACTAGGCTATTGTACTTCGTTTATTTTTTATACTTTCTTTATCGAAGTTGTTTACTGAAAAACTTTATATATTTACCAACGTCTTTTTGAAAAACTGTATTTCAAGCTATTTCACAATAGTGATCCGTAGAATCGAAAGCGAATCCGACATTTTTAAAATTTTCTATTGTGTTTATTAAAGTTTTTTGGACAGTTTTTTATATTTAATAACTAGATGCATTTACGAAACAAAACGGATTTTGGACATTTCTATTTTTTTTTACTTTTTTGTACTTCATTTATTGAAGTCTTTTGGAAACCTAATATGAACTTTGTAATTTTTCTAAAGAAAGAGTTTGTGAGTTTAAAAATACATATAATTAATTAATAATACAAAACAGCTTTGTTGTAAAATTTGTTACACATTTTACGTCGTATTAAAATATTACCGTACAATTTTTGACACGGGTTATTTTTATTGATTCACATTATCTTTTTTCAGTCTGAAAATAATTTCAAGACTAACTCCTGAACGGGATAAAGAAGTTATGTATGAGGTAAGTGAGTTTAAATCAATATGCTTTTTGAAAATGGAGTTTTGCATTGTTTTAAAGATGCGATTTCTAAGAATACCAGACTTTCTAGAGTCCCTTTTTTTTCCTGAATTTATTTAAAATTTGGTTGGATTTTCAGACACTATGTAAAATATTTTATTGCAAAGTACCATTTCGATGCAATTTCCGGAAGTTTGCGAATTTCAAACAGTTTTACTATATTTTTAGCAGTAAAAGACAAACAATCGATTCTATGATTACGATAGACTAGCTTGCGATTTGTTATTAATGTCAAATATTTATGTTTGCATTGTAGTTTAAAATGACAGCAGAATAGGCAAAATTACTCAAAATTATCTTTGGAAATTCAAACCTATTGGAACGTGCGGTAGTAGACCGTATTTGGGGGCATCCCTCACAGTGTGACAGTATTTTCAAAACAAAAACAGTTTTTACTTTAACGAAAAATGATTATTTTGGGTGTATCGAGAGTGGGGTACACTCCACTCTAATAGAAATAATAGCCTTTTAAGTATCTAAAGCAATTGTCAATGTGAATAATGAAATGAAATGGTAATTCTGAATTTCAGAAAATCGCACATTTCAAAATTGTCACACTTATTGTTAAACACGTTGTATTCAAATAACAATATCACGAAAACTAAATGAGATATCAACAATCCCAGAACGGAGGAGGCTATGCGCAACGCAGTGCTGTCAACCGCATATCAGTAAATATCTCCATTAGCGTGTAATTCAAAAATTTCGGTTATTTTCTGAACAGACCTCGTATGTTAATATAATATTTTATATAGAAATTCACAAAACTCAAATCAGAACAATGGCACTTTGTGTTACGGGAAGGCGCCCTGGACTGTGCAATGTTTTTTTTTCTTCAAGCGTATAATAATACTTATATTATATAGTGCAACACCTCCTTTAGAAGCAGCCTATTGTTTAACTAGTACAAATATTTTTCATTTTTTAACTAGTAAAAAAATGTAACAATGTGTAGGTAAGTATCCTAGCAACGAATTAAAGATTCAAGAAGCTTTGACGTTTCATTAAGTGTCAGTTGAAATTTGATGTCGCGTCGGGTCGTTTTTAAAATGTCTGAAGAAATGCAGTGCACACCACCAGAATTACTGGAAATTGCAAATACATCAGTGGCAACACTTATACCAACAAAGTCGAGAAAAATTTATGAAAATGCTTATGATAAATTCATAAATTGGGCAAAAGAAAATAATGCACATATTTATTCAGAAAATGTGATGATAGCATATTTTACAAGATTATCCAGAACACTGAAAAGTTCAACTTTATGGGCGCAATATTCAATGGTAAAATCTAAATTAAACATAGAACACAATGTAAATATTGAGAAATATTCAAAATTAATTACATTTTTGAAACGACAAGGTGAAAATTATAAACCAAAAAAGTCGAAAGTTTTGTCTAAAAAAGAATTTGACGAATTCCTGAATAAAGCACCTGATGATAAATATTTAGCAACCAAGGTATGTACTTTTTAAATTATAGGTAGATATATATTTAACCTTTTTATATTTGTAATACAAAATTTTGTTATAATTTGTAAACTTCAAGTTATTTTATAGTATCCATTACGAGAATAATAAACAATTTTCGGAAATAAAGATAGCTCATTGGAAGAATGTTGTAAAAACTCATAAATATAGATGTCTTAAAATTACGTCATGTTTTAGAATTTCCTTGCATTTTCCAACTTTTTTTATTGTTACAAAATTAATAATTCTATATTTTTTAGGTTGCACTAATATTTGGAGTCACAGGAGCTTGTAGATGCGATGAACTCATTCAAGTAAAAGTTAATGATGTAAAAGATTTGGGAAATATAATATTAGTAAATATTCCCAATACAAAAACTAAAAAACATCGTTCATTTACCATAATTGGAGAGTTTTATTTAAATTTATACAGAAAATATGCTACTCTTCGGCCAAAAGACATAACTTTTGATAGATTTTTTATTAAATATCAAAATGGCCATTGTCATCGTGTTGTAATGGGCATACATAAAATTTCAAAAGTGCCAAAAGATGTTGCATCATTTTTAAGGTTGCCAAATCCACATGAATATACGGGGCATTGCCTTAGAAGAACCTCGGCAACTATCTTAGTTGATAATGGTGGAGACATTACAACCCTAAAGCGACATGGTGGATGGAAATCTACCAGCGTCGCTGAAGGATACATTGAAGATTCTGTAAACAATAAGAAACAGATAGCGATGAAAATATTAAACCCATTAGAGTATAATGAACCAAGTACATCAAGCGAAACTGTAAATATTGATCCTGAAAATAATTTAATCGAAGACTTTTCTGTTAATAATGGTACAATTGTTAACACTGAAACTGAGAACCTTATTACAAGTAACGTATTCAACGACAGAACTGTAAACTTTGAAAAAAAGACAGCCAGCAGCGCTTTAAATATCAACAACTGTACCATACAAAATTGCACATTTAATATTCATGTTAATAAATAAAGTTTGATGATAGACATGTAGGTAATTTAGATGTTTATTCGTTTAATTCAAATTAAAGAAAAATAATTGTTACATTTGTTTTTTTATTCATGAATAAAGTGGTTAAAACTGTCATGTTTAATTAATCAATAAAATGTATAAAATGTATAAAATAAATAGTATTACCTACCTACTGATTTTATTTTGTGCTGAGATTGAACATCGCGTTATCCGCTATAAATTTTCAAAATTAGTAATTTTTTATATTCACGCTTGAAGAAAAAATAGTATATGTCACTCGGAGTGGAAGGCTCATTATGTGTTTTGCCCAATTTGCTCAGCCTCGGCTAACGCCTCGGCGAGCAAACTTTTGGGCTCAACACATAATGATCGCCTTCTACTCCTAGTAACATAATATACTATTTTTAATTAGTTAACTATACGTAGCTTAGTAACGTTAACTTGGATCCTCTTTGGATCGCTACCAAGGATTATGAACATTTATACTTATGGGTTGAATTTCTTTTATGGTTCTGTTGTCAAGCAATAATTTCATTATTGTCAGAAGTGATATTTCTAAAGACCGTTCCTCGAATCATTTGTAACTATAATGTATTTTTATTCCAAGATTGGAATAGAAATGCACTTCTCAAACGTCCTTGACAAGATCTAAGTCAATTACAAAACATTGGCACCGGCAAAGTAATTAATGATGGCGATAAAGCGTTTTTAAACAGAAACGTGCAGTATTCATTATTACGAAATAAATACCTGTAGCGCAAAATAAAAACATAAATCTGGAAATGAATAAATAGCTCCATGCAATTTTTATAATTTCGACTGTGCGAATAGAAATTATGTAAACAAACACTTATGTATTGATAATAGT